CGCGCAGCCGCTCCCGCAGGCCGGGACGGGGCCGCGGCGCTGGGGAGGGGCCTGAGCGCGGCCCGCCCGCTGCCCGGCGCTGCGCTGCTCTGCCCGGGCTGCCTTCCCTTTCGCACCCTTCTCGGTGCCTTGGCACCTGCTGGGCTGAGGCGCCTTTCCTGTAAATACCGAAACTGCCCTTTCCCTCCCCACGGAAAATAGGAACCGTGACCCAGCCTGGTCCGCCGGGTATCCCAGGTCAGAGCAGGGACATTTTCATGGCATGGAATTCCACTGTGAGAGCCTGGATGTGAAGTGGTGCCTGGGACTGCATAAAAGAGGAAAAAAAATCTAGTAAGAGTGTCTTTTTTAAAACCAAGCACGTGTCAAAGGGCAGCAGAGAGCAGCAGGAAGTGTTTGGGTTGGAGGCTGTGCTGAGGCAGTAGCTTTTCCCTGTCCATCTCTTGACCACCCAAACCACCCTGCCAGCAGCACCTTTCCCAGAACTAGAAAATAGGGAAAGCTGGGGAGTAGTCTTCTGCCAACAATTGATTCTGTCCAAAACACCTGTTTTCTGTCCACTCCTGTTTGGGATGATTGGGTTCATGTTGGGGCTTCCCATGTCTCTACACTCACGTTACTGAGGTTAACACATCACAAGGAGTGTGTCCTGTATGGCTGCTCTTCCGAGGGCATAGACACACCACACCAGCACTAGGAAAACGATGCTGCTTAAAATGTCACCCCTTACACCAGGCAGAAACGCTTCTGCTTCCACTACCCTCCAGAAAGCTGGCTGTGGGTATTGGGGAGCTGACAGGGATGTAGGCACAGGGAACACTTTACCTGGAGCTCAGATCCTACTGAGTTGGATTCTTTTGATGCCGTAAGTTTTAGCTTCCATATTTTCCAGATTCCATACTGCATTAGTATATAACTCTAAGCTTCATATAAAGCGTTAGCAAGTTCTCCTCATGATTTAGTCAGACAAAACAATCCTTTTGCAGCTTGAGAACCAAGGACACCATTGCAGCTTCAGGCCCAAAAAGTGTAAATAACAGCAAACTGAGGAGAGCAATCTGGGAGGATGGGAGTTCGTAACCTGAAGCTGTAATTGGACAATTAACCCCAACATGTAAATGGACCAAAACTTATAAAAGTATGAAAATGTGTGACCTGTCACCCATATTGGGTGTAGCCATGGCCAGGCTCTTGTAGTGCCCAAGGTGTATCCTTTGAACGCCTTTTAATAAATACCTGCTTTATTCCTTTAACTCTGTTCTAGGCAGCCTCTCAAGGCCTCATCTTCTCTGCAGATTTCTTGGTTAGGACTCTTAGAATATGATTTTTGAAAGAAATATGATGCAGTCACTGAGCCAGCTTGAACTTAGTTCAAATTGGTTTGGAACTCTGGACAAGTTAAGTTACTTTTGCCAAGGTTTTACACCAAATCAAGTATTGTTTGTTCACAGCTCTCTTAAATTTACATCCCATCAGTGCAAGGGTTCTCCTATAGCTGTCAGGGGGTAATAAATCTGTACATGTGCCAAGATCCATCTCTACCACTTTTTCTTCCAGAGAGCCAAATGGTGATCTACCTGACAGATAAATATGAGATTACCAAGACAAAAGCAGTTAAATAAGAAATAAAACAATCTCAAATGAATGCCATTATATAATTCTCAATACCCAGTAGAGAAAAATCTTTTAATAGGCTGCAGCAGAACAATCTGCCTCCAGAAGAGATTTCTCTCATGCTCCAAAATTAAAAACTACAACTGCTTCAAAAGTAGAGATTTCACATGTCCAGAGGTTTAAAATATCCTGGTATTCTAATTCTTCCTATGCCTTTTCTAAAGAAAAATAGAAATATCACAGAAAAGTCTTATTCATCATGATACTTGGATCTCTCTCATTTTGCAGTGAGACATTGTGACTGGAAATGGGTGTACCACCAGAGCACCTCTTGGTTCTTCCCTGACCAGCAAGTTCATACACATTTGGAACTGATCTCCTGGAGGCAGCTACAGCACAAGATACCAGACAGAGGCAGGATCACTTACATTAGATGTAGATAGAGTTCACAGGTTTTGTTTGATACAAAAGAGTTCAACAAAATTATGGGCCTTTTGACTAGAAAAATGAAGCTAAAAGTGTCCAGAATAAATAGGACCGACTGAGGGAGGATTTATGTTCTGAGAAACCAGAAGAGTAAACCCTAAATTTGCAGAAAGCTACAGGCAACTTTGATATTTTTGAGAGTATTTGAGCCATTCCTTTAATTGGAATGATCCTATAGAAATATTAAAACCTAAACAATTTTAGAAACAGCAAAAGAAATAAATAGGTATGACTGAAAGAAACAACCACACAATGTAAGAATTCACTAATAAAATTCCATTTTAATAACTTTTTTTACAAGGAATCCACCTATACACTATAGAAAAATAAACACCACGGAGACTTTTTCCAGCTTACAATACAGCGATGCAGGCACACTTCAGCTGTTGACTTAATTTCACATGAGAATGTAAAACATTGTTCTTAGTGAAAAGTAAGTCCCTCTTAAAGTACTAAAATATAATAAAAAGAGTCATATAAAAATCTGCTTTAAAAGCACTGCCCTTTATTCAGTTGCATGGCAGATTGCAAGTGCATCTGTTGAGTGAGGACCGACTCAGAGGAAGCAGGAACTTGCAGGACAGATTTTGTAACCGTTCCCATCACTTTTTTAGGTTTCTCTGATGAGGTGAACCTAGCACTTGTCCTAAATTAAAAAAAAACAAACAAAACAGATCAACATTAGAAAACTGCTTGTAATATGAAGCAACAGTGTACAATTAGCAGTGTGTTATTTCCTCAAAGCACTTCATATGAGCTATACTGAAAGCAATTCCAATTTTCACGAGCCACCTAGGAGCAATCCCAAACAGGATTTGAAAGCCTAAACATCTGCCAAAACAAACCTCCATACCCTGGGACCCGTGCTCCATCACAGGCTGCTTTACCCCAGTGACAGCTCAATTCTGCCCCTCCTGTGCTGATTCTTTAGTTCATTAGGAACTGGGAAATCACTTGGCTGACAGCACTGCTCTAAAGATTGCAGCATTGTTCTGTAATGCCTGGACATTATCATCCTGGTAATAGGGAAATGACAGAAATCACAGCAGTGTTTATGGTGTCCCAGCTGTGGAGTGCTTATTCCACACTTGGAATGAAGCAAAATGTGTTACTTCCATAAAGGCTGATAGGCTTCAAGTCTAAAATCTGTTTAACTATCTGAATCAGCCATGCAGCTGCAGCATTTGGGAAAAAAATCCCCAAACAAACCTACAAAGTCAAGGTAATAAAGTTTCTAGGTAAAGTCCTGTTGAGAACAATGTTCCCAAACTCTTCAGGATTTCAGGATGATATTATGACAGGTTGCAAGTTCCTCCTCAGGACAAGGTGTTTCTGTGCTATACAAAACATGTAACAAGAGGAGGTAATTAGACTAATTAAACTAAGTAAATCTGGTCTAGAAATTAGGTGGAACTGGTTTAAATAGCAAAGCTAAGTGCCACTACAATCCTTTGTGTGCTCTTTGATAAATCTTAGAAGTAGATGGCTGTATTTATCAGCTTCCAAATTTTTTTAAAAATCTGTTATGAACATAAGGAAGTGATAATTAAGGGAAGCATTACAGTTTGTGCTGCAGAGAAAGCCCTGCTCAGCTATTACAACAGCTATGTTTGATTTTAAAGCAAATTAACTCTATACACAGCTTCATTTGAATTACAACACTTCCTTGTTTAGATTTGGGAAAAGGAACGGGGGCAGAAATCACATGAAATTATTCCACCTTATCTCTTTCACTATGAATTTAGAGAAATGCCACACTTGGAGGAGTTTTAGATACGACTTGGAAAGGTTTCCTTTTGGAGACTTAGGTTGTTACTCCTCAATAATGATAATTATTCTTTAAAATGATGCTCTTTATTGTCAATGTGTACAAAGAACCTTGTGAAAAGCAGCCCAGACCTGCAGGAGCTGTGAGGGTGAGAAGGTGGCTCTTACCTGGCTGCACCCCTCGCAGCCTTTGCTGGATGGCCTCCAAGCGATGGATGTATTCTGTGAGTGACTGCTCAGGATCCTGGGGTGCCACAAGGGACTTGTCTGGAGCTGAACTTGGGGACAGGTGCAATCTTAAAAAAAAAAAAACACAACCTACAAATAATTTCCTCCTTCTCATGCTATACTCTCAAATATATCCAGAAGTTACATTCATTTAGTCAGGAATTCTGGGCAAAGAAAACTGGAACCGTCGCCACTCTTTCCATTTGTATAGCTGTTCCTGAAAACAGGAGCAGCAAGAGGCATCATTTAGCCTACCCTGGATCTACATCAGACCTGAGCCACCACTAATCCAGTCACACTGAGCACCAGTCAGGGCTGCTGTTATTAATACCCTGCTGCATATAATACAGGTGACTTTTCTTAGCAGGGCTGTCAGAAACAAACACATGCCATGACAGAGGAATAGGCTGGGGTACAATTAAGTCTTTTGGAAGTTCTTGCAGGTCTCAAACTCTCCAAAACACTTTACTGAATTCCATGCAAACCAGAAGACTACCTGGCTGTTTGTGACAAACCACTGAGCAAAGTTAAAAACCCCTACAATGATCTGAAGCACCTCCCATCTTTGCAGACTGACCTGTTGTGTGAGCGGGAGGAGGATCGTGGGGAGAGGCTTGTGAGTCTTGCAGCACAGCTGGTTCTGTGGCACAGCCCTGTGTCCCTGTCCTGGGTAGGGGGAGAGCTGACAGGGCCAGCTGCGGGCTGCTGCTCTCTCAGGACTTCTGTTCTAGCACCAAAGGCTGTGGTAAATAGCAAGGGTTAAAAAATATGCACTAGGAACCACTGAGAACAGGCTGTCATAAACACATCCTACAAACCCATGAAAATGACAGCAGAGTATGCTTAAGTTTGGTTTTAAATGCAGGTAAATACACTTTCTACAGCTAACTGCTTTTTTTGTTTGTGGGATTTTTTTTTAACTGTATTTAACAGAATTGTGATGCTATTTTGTATTGAGGTAGAAAGCTCAGCATTTGAGGATTCAAAATTCTTAGGAATCATACAACAGTGGGTTTATGTACAAAGGTTGTGCTTTCTTTTAAAGTAAGTATCTCCAGCAACTTAGAAACTGAAAATTACATAGTACCAGGTAATGAAAAATACACTACTTAATCTGAATTTTGTTTAGCATTGAAAAGTCACAATGGAATTTTACATCAAGGCAAACAGTTCCCCAATACTGGGTGCTGCATTAAGATGTTTGTTGGAATTGTAACAAAGGCACTCAACCAGTAACTCAAAGGAACATTCAAATGTTCCTCAAGTAACTCAAGTCCTTACTGACCTGCATCAGACCATCTATCCATCTACTCTACAGATGGACAGTGGCAAAACAAACACATTTTCCCACTTGGGTTTTGTTTTTAAACGGAACGCATCACTGAAGAGAAATTACAAAGAAAGCAATGCACTTATCCAAACACATAAGTGTGTTACCTGCTATACTGTGAGAAATGCTTTCACCCTGTGTGCTCTTCCTGCCAACTTTGTTCCACTTCTTCACCAAAAACTTTAACCTTGGTAAGAAAACAAATTTGGACAAGCATTAAAAATAAGCAGAAATAAATTAAATTTTAATATTATTTGTTGGTATTAAGCAACATAAGCAATGATTGTTGTGGGAATGACAGGAGAACTGTTCAAGTTCAGTCTTTGGAATGCTGGCTTAGCCCATTTTACCCTGCAATGATCTTTGAACTGCTGAAAACTTGCTTGTTTTGGCTCTGCTCCTGATCTTCAGAGAGCTCTTCCTACCTGAGACAAGGAGTTTGGAGGTTACTGCACAAATTTGCAGGTGCTGCAGCCTTTGCTGTTATAATGGTATTCATGTCAAAGACTCTGTGTCAGCTCCTGATAGAAACTTGCTAGTGAAAATTTTAACTAGACAATGAAATTGCTCAGAAATAACCAGCTATTACATTTAAAATTGCTTTTTTTTTAACTGAATGGGCTTACAGCCATTGGGAGATGGCATGTTGTCCCATGTACAGCTAGCAAAATCCATTTGACAGTGACACAGCATGATAAAGTCACACCCAGTGAAACACACACTACTGGATTCCAGAGAACCATTCCTGACAGATCCCATTCTGATACAAGACAGACTGTCCAGTGAGACCAAGGAGATCAGGGCCAGCCCCAAAGGACTCCAGTTTGTAATGCTGTGCACTGGTTCCCAAATATATTGCAGCTGGGTATCACTCAAGTAGCTTTTTCATGGAATTATGGAATGGTTTGGGCTGGAAGGGATCCTAAGGAAGCCCACCTTGTTCCATCCCCTGCCATGAGCTGGGACACCTTCCACCATCCCAGGCTGCTCCAAGCCCTGTCCAATCTGCCCTTGAACACTTCCAGGGATGGGGCAGCCACAGCTTCTCTGGGCAACCTGTGCCAGGGCCTCCCCACCCTCACAGGGAACAATTTCTTCCCAATATCCCATCTAAATCTACCCTCTTTCATCTTAAAGATGTTTTTTACTAATTTTTAGTACAGCTCAAACTCAGCTAACAAGTCATGCTTGAACCAGTCCTGGAGATCACTTCTGCTTAGTATTAATGTAGGATAAGCCACAGGAACTATCAATTTTTTAAGCTTCCAAGAAAACATCACCTATGAGAGACCTATGAGGGAGTGTTCTGCATTACCTTGAGATGGCAATGATGGCTCTGACTGCACACCTGAACTTGGTGAAGGGCCGGGAGTGTATCAAACTCAGCTGGAGTACAGATCAAACCAGTCCTGGAGATCACTTCTGCTTAGTATTAATGTAGGATAAGCCACAGGAACTATCAATTTTTTAAGCTTCCAAGAAAACATCACCTATGAGAGACCTATGAGGGAGTGTTCTGCATTACCTTGAGATGGCAATGATGGCTCTGACTGCACACCTGAACTTGGTGAAGGGCCGGGAGTGTGCTGCAGAGAGCTGCAGGTCTGCAGAAGGATAGATTCCCATGCGGGCAATCAGAGACAGAGTTGCTTGCTCACAGTCCTGAAACCCACCAAGCAGCAGCAAGAGGTATTTCTTCTGATAAACTAGAGCCTTTCTAAAGCTCTCTGCTCGAATGTACTTTCGATATAATCTCTGCAACTGCAGAAAGAAAAAAAAAATTTTTAAAAGTTCATTTTTTTCACTGTTACTGTTGCAAAAAGCCAGCCACAAACAAGGTGTCTTCAGGTCAAATGTCCTGAGGACAGGAGGGCAGCCAAAACAATTCTGTACACTGCTAAAACCCACCCAGATTTGGAGTGTCAGTCCTCTTTAAATCTCCTGAAAGTTTTCAAGCAAAATTGTCATACTCAAAACTCTAAAACAGTTTAACTCTTTAATAAAAAAGTACATCTGCTTAAAAAAAAAAAAGTAAGCCAGAATGCATGGTGGGAGAGATGCCTATCAGATTTGATTAAAATCAAAGTGTCAGAAAAATAAAAAGTATTTAAGATTAGTCAGCAGGGATTAAAAATAAGGAATGTTTTCTGTTTTCATGCTTAGACAAGAAATCCAAGTCTCCCTCTCATTTAAGAGTGGAAAGAAATTCCAAATTGCAAAGATTCAGATTAGTTTTGATGCAAGTTCCTGTCTAACACTGAGAAAGTTCCAAAGGAACTTCTCTGATGAGGTACATATGGGGAAAGCTTCTAATTTAAAATAATATATCAAGCTGTTTGTCTAGAACAATCAACCTTTTAAAATAGCAACTGAAGATTACAGCAGTAAGTGAAAGATAAATGCCATAATCTGACAGATGCCTTTTTTCCCCAGCAGATCAGTTTCAAATGGTACCTCCTGGCTGTGCCTCTGCTGGCTGTCCAAGCTCCAGAGACCCCCTTTGCTGGCTACCCCCATGATTTTACCTTAGGATTGGAAGTTTCTGCCACTGGTTTGTTTTCAATTTCAGCATTGGCTTTGGCCAGCTGGGATTCTGCCTGTTTCAGCATGTTCTGCAGCGTGTTCCTCTCTCGTTGCCAAGCCTCTCTTTCCAGGTCTTGAACAGGGCCAGCATCACCTGTAAATCTCACCTAAAACAGAAACCTAAAGAACGTGAGCCACAATGGGTTTTGCACATTTGTTTTCACAATCAAACATCTCAAACCAAGGAATAACCCAACTTTATGACAAATTAAAACATGGTAACAATGAGCCTGAAAACCAGCAACAGTATTCAGGTGTTGAACAGCACAATGGGAAACTGAAAAGCATTAAAAGCCCTTCTGACTTTCACCTGGCTTTCTTCTACATCCACAGGCAGCACAGAAATAGTGAAGATGTCTCTGTAAATGCAAAAACAAGCTGCACATACAACAAAAACAAGTTGTGAAAAATTCTGAAAAATCACATTCAATTCTGAGAGTCTGACGCCCAGAGAAGCTGTGGCTGGCTCATCCCTGGAAATGTCTAGGGTCAGGCTGGACAGGGCTTGGAGCAATCTGGTCTAGTGGAAGGTTCCCAGCCCATGGCAGGGGGTGGAACAAGATGGGCTTTAAGGTCCCTTTCAGCCCAAACCATGCTGTGATTCTGTGAAACTGAGTTTTGTGATAAGGAATGAGACCCAGGGCTCCAGCTCCAACTCTTCATGGAAGTTCTGCCTTCACAAACCTCTCTGCATCAACTACAAATTTACTGGTCATCGCATGATGCAGTAGATCACAAAAGAAATAGAAGATTTTTTTAAGGTAGCTGATGTTTCATCCCTTGAAATAAAATCTGTACATTAGAGAAGCCAGTACAAACAACTGACCCCAGTTTCTCCTAGCAACTTATTTCAGTACAGTCTGTAGTATCTGAAGGAGCTCTGCATGACTCATCTATGTCCTTGACTTCTGCTGCACCATTTGGCAGCTGATTGACCACACAGCTCCATTTGGCACAGATTTTCCATGCTGACATTTTGCCAGATTCCCTGTCCAATACTCCCCGATTTACTGCAACTCAAGGCAGGGAACAGCAGAAAATTTCTTTGGTCTCCTGAGCATGTGGTTCAGTACCTTAAAGGAAGGAGAAATTCAGGGAGGAGACTGAAGGAAAAGGTGATTCTGGAAAAAAAGCCAAAGCCTGAAAAGAAGGCAGAGAGGAGGGATTGTTTGTGCCCACAGAAGAAAAGCTATTGAGGTGGAGTTTTTGCTCCTAATCTCTAGAAAGGCATGTGACTTTAAAGTGCTCTACTGAACACTTTGTCTGTTAAAAAAAAAAAAGGTCGGGAAACTTGAGTGCCTTTATTTTTGTGTGGTCAATCTCTGAAGGAAAAGGTGATTCTGGAAAAAAAGCCAAAGCCTGAAAAGAGGGCAGAGAGGAGGGATTGCCCACAGAAGAAAAGCTATTTTGAGGTGGAGTTTTTGCTCCTAACCTCTAGAAAGGCATGTGACTTTAAAGTGCTCTACTGAACACTTTGTTTGTTAAAAAAAAAAGTCAGGAAAACTTGAGTGCCTTTATTTTTGTGTGGTCAATCTCTGAAGGAGGGAACTCTGCTTCAACAAGACTTCAACAAGACTTTTGTCTACAGCTGACAGCTCTAAAGGTTTGTGAGAGGAAGGCTTAACTAAAATAACCCCATGAACTTGGAGAAGAGGCTGCATCCCCTTCCTCAAGGCTGGAGATGATCCATTTGGCCACAACCACCTGTGTGGCTGCACAGGTGACAGAAGGAAAATATTAACTGTATTTTGTAAGCAGGTAGACATAGGGAGAGCTGCAACATGCCAAGGCAGCTTGTCACACATCAGACTTGTGAACAGAAGAGACAAAAAACTTTTCACTTATCAGACAGTCATAGATCTCTGTCTGTTGCAAGATAAAGACATAAAACTGCAGTTATCTGGGGAATCAGATGGAATCTAAAAGTCATGCATTTATGTATTTTGTATTAACAGACCTGAGCTTGGTCTTGGGTAATCCCTGGGTTTGTGTAAAGTATTTGCAATACTGCAAACTTGGGTCAGAACAGCCCTCCAAAGATTACAAACCACTGTGGTGCTTTTTAAAAAAAAAGTACTTGGCATTTTGGTGAAAAAAAAAAAACAACTCTTTCTGGATGCATAAAGAAGCTCTAGCAACACATCCCAAAGCTTGTGATCCTTGGACACAGTACGTATTTAGGAAAAAAATGCTCTCAGAAGCAGACTCTGCAATATGACAAAACAGAGTGGGACATTAAAATATGTTATTATTTTCCTTACCTGAGATGTAGGAGTCAAATCTGATTTTAGTTCCCTTAATGTCTGTAGTAAAGAGGCTACAGCTTCATCATTTGATGCAGACCAGTCATTAACCGTTCTGTTAAGCAGAAATACTTTTTCAGTATCAGGCTGATTTGTAAGAATGTTAACACACATTTAATTGCTTCTTCCCACTACTTGACCTTTAAGGTTCTGAGGCTTTACTTATGCAATATTTACCCCACAAATTACTACAAATATGAACAGAAATTAGCAAATTCTGTTCGTTTTTAAGAATTAAAAGAGCTAAGGGCTCTCAGCCATGACACACACAAGTTAAGAAGCAGGATGGAAAGCCAAGTGCTATTTTATGAACTCACTTATCCAGAGTTTTATATATGAACTCATTCAGGTGCACAACCACAAAGAGCAACTGCTGCCTTATCTTCTCCAGCTGCTGTTGCTGCTGTTGCAAGTGAGGTTTTTCAGTTTCTTTTGTCACAGGATGTGTGGGACTTCCATCTTTGCTTGAGGCATGCAAGAGTTCCTCCTGACAGTTTGGAGTTGGAGGATTTCTTTCTCTTTCTCTTAATACTGCCAGTATTTCCTGCAGTTCTTTAATTCTTTGTTCATCCCTTTGGTGTTGCCGTTCCAAGTTTTGCTGTTTGAACAAAATTAGTAGTAGTTAATTGCATCTTATATATACCCATACTTATGTAAGTGTCACCACACCTAATCAGCATATCCACCTGGGTGTTCCTGAACTGCCAGACCACTTTTGGGGAAGGCTTAGAGCACTGTTTCCCAGGGCCACCAGGAAGCCAATTAATGACACTGGAGTGGGCATTGTCTCCATCCAAGGAGAAACCCAGGGTGAAACCAATAGTTTTCTCAAGGCATGACTGGGACCCTAGCTCAAAAAATAAGGGCAATGACATGAAATTTAGTTCGGTTCCATGCTGCATTTGTCCCATATTTATCCCCACAAAATTTAAAGATCAACTTTAAAGATTTAAAGATGTTAGTTCGGTTCCATGCTGTATTTGTCCCATATTTATCCCCACCTGTGAACAACCAGCACAGGCAAAAATTTAAAGATCAACTTTAAAGATTTAAAGATCAACTTCCGTCAACAATAAACACAGACATAATCCCTTGAAAACAGCTACATTTCACAAAAGCAGGACAAGAGCTCATTCAATGCATTTTTTAGACTGCTTTAACAGAAGGAAACATTCCAAAGAATACCATCCAGAGGGTTAAATCCCAGTGTGTGGCTATGTCAGTGTAAGGCAGAGCATTCTCACCAGTCTCTCCTGATCTCTCTGCCAGTCCTTCTGTTTCTGTATCTCTGCCTGTTGCTGCTGCTTCTTCTCTCTCTCCCTCTCCTCTTTCCTGTTCTTATCTTGCTCTTTGAGCAGCTTGAAGAGTGACTGCAGTTGTTCCCAGTCAACTTTCAGCTTGACCTCTCTCTCCCTCTGGGCCTCCAAGGAACGTATCACCTCTTGCTTTTGTGCCTGAAGAGACTCCAGGGTGGCTCGCAGTTTGTCACTGACCTCCCTCTCCTTCTGGGTTTCCTCACAGCACATCTGTACCTCAGCCTCCAGCTGCCTTTTGGACAGGATGGCCTTCTGGTGCATTTTCTCAATAACAGCAGCAAGCTCCATGGTTCGGGTCCTCTCCTCTTCCAGCTGGGCTTGGAGCTCTCTGACAAAGGCTTGTTCCAGCAGCGACTCCCTGTGCTGACAGGAAGCCCCTTCCTTCACTCTCAGGCTCAACTGCTCTGTCAGAACACGCTCATGATTCAGGGAATCCAGGAGCTCTGAGGAGCGTTTTTTCTCAGCCTCCAGGTTTTTCTGCAGCTCCCTCAGTTTGCTGTGCTCCTGGGCCAGCAAGGCTTCGCAGCGGGAGTGCTCGATCTGCAGCTCCTTGCGGAGGTTGTCTGTCACCGTCCTCTCGTGCTCCAAGGACACGGCCAGCTGGCAGTTCTGCACCGACTGCACATCCAGGGCAGCCTGCAGCTCCTGGGCACAACGGGGGGAACAATTAATATTCCAGCACAAACACTCATTTGTGGGACTGGCTGGCATTTAGCAATTTTCAACCTCCTATTTTATCCAAGAAGATATGCAAGACTTAACTGGAGTAGTTCAGGTATTAAAAAGTTTAATTTAAAATTATAAGTGACACAAAAATGCTCTTTAGCAATATAGCACCAAGCAACAAAATAAAAAATTATCATGCTAAGGTATCTGCCAGTACATTATTTCTTCTTCAGTTAGTAAGATCCTCATTAGGAAATCACAACTTTTTACATCACTCAATCCCATTAATAAGTAACATGTGCAACAGCAATAACCCTGTTGTTTTAAAAAGAAAAATCTAAGCAGTAAGAGTAGATGTAAAGCTTCAGGACTTGGCAGCCCATCTCTTCAAAACACAGAGTAGAGACTGAAAAAAAATACTCACAGAACGGTCTGGGTTGGAAAGGATGTTAAAGCTCATCTCATTCCCACCCCCTGCCATGGACAGGGACACCTTCCACTATCCCAAGTGACTCCAAGCCCTGGCCTGAACACTTCCAGGGATGGACCAGCCATAGCTGCTCTGGGTAATCTGGGTGCCACCACTCTCACAGGAAAGAATTTCTTCCTTGTATCTAGTCTAAATCTACTCTTTCCATTTCAAATTCATCCCTAGGTCCATTGTGGGGGCCAGTCTTTCTTCAGAAGGAAAGGCAGGGACTGAAGGGGCAGCGTAGGGCACTGCAGACAGCCAGAACTGGCACTGCTGTCCTAGGAGGGAGGTCTACCCTGCCCTCCACATAACTAGCACCATTTGTTATCTGCTAGAAAGCCAGGTCAGAGCTAGAAGGCAGAAGCTTTCCATAATGGGGCTTCAATAAAGATTTGTGAATGCCGGACTGATCTGTCCTGGGGCAAAGCACTTTTCTCCTGGCCTTGGCTACTCTGTCCTCCTTGCATGAGCAGGTTTCTGAAAAGGAGAAAGATGGTAGCAGCATTTCCTACCCATGCAGCAGTAACAAACATCCCAACAAAAATCATTCACAAACTTAAACAATTACTAGGAAGATGACAGGAGAAGCCAGACTACAAGGAAATAGTCAGAAGTGTGTTTCCTCACTTAGGGAATTTAAGGATTGTTTGGAGTTCTTTGAGAGAGTTTAGTTTTGGGGTTTAAGAAATGGTTTATGTTACATCTTGCTCCTTTTGCATTTACTGTAGGCCTTTTACAAGAACTGAGTCATTGCTATTACAGTCTTGGAGAGAAAGCTGTTTACTTGTTTTCTGCTCAATTTAGAAGGGAACAGGATGACTTTGGTTAACCTCCAAAAATACATATTATATTGAAAAGGCTACACTCACTCTCTGCCAAACCTATTTATCATTGGGTGGTTTTCTTTATAATCTCAGAGATCATACATCTCACACCCTCATGGTAAGTTTGCTCTGGAATTAAGGGTGCAGTTACACAACTGTAGGATCTGGCTGTCCCTACTCAGCAAGGGGCAGTACACAACAGGGGAAAGTAGGAAAGGAAAAAACATTAAGATGTGGAACAAAGAACCCCAACACAGCATTCAACTTTGGTTTATTTCTGCACGTGCAATTAATGAAAGTAAATGCAACGAAAGCTTTAACTCAGTGAGAAAAGACACTGTGCACATTCAGAAAAGGTTTGGGGGTTTTAACAGTTCCTCAACAAAGAATAGAGGAGGTGAAGAAGACTGCACAAATAACTTGCTAGTTAACGTCATGCCCCAGGGGAGCTGGGCGTTACCTCCATGGCCTTTGTCTTTTCATCCTCTGCTTTCCTCTGCTGACGCTGCTGTTCTTCAAACCAACCTCGAAGCTCAGATCCCTTCAGCTGCTCAGCCTGCAAGTCTTCAAGTGCAGCTGCCAAATCCTTTTCTTTCTTTTCCAATTCAACACTGCAAAGTTCAAAACGACATTTCTATGTTCAGAACAGAACATCCTTCACCAGCATCACAATTAAGACATTTTGGGTTGGTTTCTCTGAGTTCTTTCTATTGATTTGTTTCTTTAAGGTGGCCTCTATTCTTTCTAAAGAGAGTCAGTTTTCAAGTTAGTCAGCATCTGAAAGCATTTGCCTCCCTGCAGGCCAAGCTAGAATTGCTTGACTTAGTAACAATTAAAAGATAGCTTATTTATTCTGGCAGAGCAAAGCTGTTGTCCTGTGAGAGGAAAGCAAAATATTGGCATACACTAAGAAGGGAGTGGGAAAGGAACATACTCAAGATGACAGAATTTAGTAAAGAAAACATAACCCTTAAAATTGAGAGACCCTAGTTTTCCTCCCTACGTTTCCAAGTGCTTTATGGATCCAATTAGTACAAAGCCCTTTCAGACCTGCTGATAAATCAAGTACATGAATAAATCTACTTCTCACCGTAAATGATTTATTTCCCTCTGAAGCTCTTCCAGGGACTTCTGCAACCTTTCATTCTCTTGCTTGCTTTCAGAAAGCTCTGATTTCAGGGATGCTTTTTCCTGATTAAGGAGATCACATGTTTCAGAGGATCTCTTCTGCTCCTCAGAGAGGGTGTTGTGCAAGTCACTCACAATAGATTTCTCCTGCTGAAGCTTATATTCCAATAACTCAACTAGGATAAGAAAACACTGTAACAGTTATTTATATTACAGAGACCTTGACAATATGACATCACTTACACTAATCCAAATTAGGAAAACAAATCAGCTGTATTGAAGTGTTTTTGTCTGAAGAATTAATCTCTTTTCAAATAAGAGGAATCAAAAGAAGGATGCACAAACCCAATGATTCTATCATTGTGATATTCTGTAATATCACGGATGGATTTTAAAACTCATTAAAGAAACCTATCCACTTACATAAACATTTTAGGACAGGAATCACTATATAGAACCTGTTTTGCCAGCTCTCTTCAGGCCAGCGAGTTAAGACAAACAACTCTCCCTAAATTTGGAGGTCCCTGTTTGATAAGTACTTAAAAATAATTAATGCACCTATGTCTACAGCATTATGTAAATAAAATTAGCAATCATTTTCTTCTGGATGTCCAGAAAACCTTCATCTATTGGACTAGTGCATGTGCTATTAAATGGCTGAATCCTGAATGACAGCGATGGGAAAACAAAAATAAGGAAAAAGCAGTGTTTGCTTTGAGAGAGATATTTATCTTTGACCAAGGTCACTTGCACTTGTTTCTTTATTACATAAAGGGAACCTGCTGTGAAAACCAAGGCTTGCTTATTTAGTCAGGAACATGGTTTAGCAGTGGCCTTGGCAATGTTTGTGGTGGGACTCCACAGTGTTAAAAGGTCTTGTCCAACCTAAGTGATTCTGTGATTCTCTACTAGCAAACAATACAGATAAACAATTCTCTGCAAACAAACAGGGTTTCACTATCCTTGCTGAGTTTTCTCCATGTATACACTACTTCAGTTCCATTGCTTTGGGTTATTTCACAGCTTCTCACAGATTTGTCTTAACTACTGATATGAGAAAGGTTGTCTATGATGAGAGCAGTTCTGAGTGCATTCAGTAAAGCTGAGGAATTACACAGCATCTGCTTCTTTGCAAGACACTTTTTTTTTTCCTTTTACCTTTGAGGCAAAAAGGAACTGATGTAGAAGACAGAAAGAGCTGACAAAGCCAACAAGCATTACCTTTCCTCCGGAGCTGGTGTTCCTGCTTGTTCCCATGATCTTCAGCCTTGGTGAGGGTTTCCTGCAGCTGCTGCAGCTTCTCCTGGTTCTGCAGATGTGTCATGCGGAGCTGAGCTCGGAGGTCCTGGATTTCTGAGAGCAGGCTATTCCGGTCTGAGGAGAAGAGGTGCTCCACAACCATCTGCCTCTGCTCCTCCTGAAACAAACCAAGGCCTATTCAAACCACAGGGCTATTTCCATGTCTTCTGCAAGGATAAGTACTAAGGAAACTCTGGCAGTGCAAGTTTTGTACTGAAGCACTCAAATGACTAAGTTCACACTTCACATTAATGCAAAACATTACATTATGTAAAAAAGAAAAACCCCACTTCACTTGCCTTGCTGAGTTCACACAGAACAATTACTACAGCCTAGAAACTAAAGATTGTTGGCAAAAAGCCCCCAGATTCAGAGTTAGTTCAATGTATATGCTTTGCAAGAGAGGTCTGTGAAGTTCTAGACAAATGGTAAGGAGGGAAGAACTCATATTTCCTATTCACTGTCACAGTCTTTCTTGATGCCAGCTAGAATAACCAACAGGCTTTGTAATACCATGAACAAAGTTCAAGAAAAATGCTATCACAACAGAAACTGTAAAAGCTACTGATTCCATCTGCATTATACAAGACATATAATAAAGCACACAAGATAATATAATAATACACAAGATTTAACAACAGAAGCAGTAAAACTGAAAAAAATTACAAGAGAATAAAGAATGATTTATGAGCAGCACACTAAGATCTTTTCATACTTGTTTTTTCATTATATACTCCAGCTTTTCCTCTAATGAGCTTGTGTCACCAGACGTAGGATTGGAGAAGTGAGACTTCAAGTCAATTTGTAAGACATTTCTCTCCTTCTCGAACACACTCTGTACTGCTTGCAGAAGCTCTCCTCTCCAGTCAGCAGCAACACCTGATGCTTCCTGTTAAAATATATATTTTTAAATGGCATCTCTCTCAACCTCTAACCCAGAATCTTTCATACCATAAGAACATATCTGTTAATTTAAGCACTTTTAGAAGTGTTTAAAGAGTACTGTCCCTTAGTCCTTAAACATATATAAACACACAGACATGCCTTATATTATGTATACAATATACATTTATGTATACACATTTATGTATACACACAACCAGGTTCCCTTGCTTTAAAGGGTATTTTGTAGCCATACCTTGTCTACATATTATATATACAATATACATTTATGTATACACACACAACCAGGTTCCCTTGCTTTAAAGGGTATTTTGTAGCCATACCTTGTCTCCTCTATCTGCCACCTTGCTGAGGTAATCCTTCAGTGACTGGATAGCATCCAGCAGGGACAATCCCTCCTTCTGCCAGCCCTCCATTGCCACTTGGGTCTGAGGGATGTTCTTCAGCTCCCTCAAAGCCAAGGGATGCTCTGACAAAGCCAAGATTTTGCGGCTCTCCTCATACACCATCTTCAGCACAGCCTGAGAAGAAAAAAAAAAAGATATCAGGAAACAGGCATCAGCATCCTGGAACTGTAAGAGTAGGATGGGATAGCACTAGACAACAAAAATAAGGTGCCTGTATCAACACATTAAAATACAATTAAGCATGAATTATTATTTATGCCAAAGGGCTGTACTTTCCCGGGAATAAATTAAATTCTATCAAGTCTGAAGCTATGTTACCACCTTTGTTTCTGAACTATTTAGCTGACTTTCCTGGGAATAAATTAAATTCTATCAAGTCTGAAGCTATGTTATTAAACCCCAGTGATGCCAGAAAACTAAATTATGTATTTAGACAACCTGGCTTAATTTAGCAAATTATGTACAAATATCAACTCCCAAAATAGCCAGTTTTAATAATTTACACAGTGGAAATTGTTTCCTCTGACACTGTCAGGCCAAATAATGTATTTTAAATAAATTCCCTGTTCACAAACTATTACATCATGCACAGATGTTTCCTGGCCTCTTTTCAAGGAAGGTCACTGGAGATTTAAATCCTTTTCTTGCACACATCTCATCAGAAATATCCCAGCCTCCATGTGGAGCTGCTCCTCATTGCTACAACAGTTTAAAAACAACACAGAGTACTTCTATTTAACTCTTGATATTCTTTCCTTGCACATTTAAAAAATTACTTTTGAACAAACTTAAGTTGCTTTTCTGTCACTGGAATCAAAATAGTGATTACTTCAATAATCAATGAAAACCTTCAGTAAACATTAATATCAAAAGCACAGTAAAGTGCTCAAACTAAACATTTAGTACAGGAATATACACGCAGATCTTACAGACAGTAAAGCCTAAATTGATGCTTCACAAAACAAACTTAAAAAAAATTCTGTCTCAAGTAAAATAAAAGTCACCTCTTCCATGAAGCCTCTGACATAGAATTTTTTAGACACAGAACAGTTTTCAGTTGGAATGGACCTTTCAAGACCATATCTAGTCCAACTCTGCTGTGACAGGCATGGGGAACATCATCTATTATTTCAGGTTGCACAAAACCCCATCCAATCTCATTTTGAATGGATTGTGGGATGGATTCCTAGGGATCCACCACCTCTCTGTGCCAGTGTCTCATCACAAGATTGTACTTATGTCCAATCCATTCCATGATCTTACTGGGCAGTGAGGCTGAACAATCAGTAGTTTTCAGGGTGCTCGTTATTAAGCTTTTTTAAAAAAGGCTGCTATGATTGCCTTTTTTCCAGGCACTGGGGACTTAATCTGACTGCTGTGACTTTTCAGAAACAATGAAGAGTGGCTTGGCAATTGCAACTGCACAATTTCCTCAGGACCCTGGGATTCATATCTTTGGGTCCCATGGACTTACCCATGTCCAAGTTCCTCTGGTAGTCTTGAATCTGATCTTTTTCTTACCATAGGAGGGACTTCATTCCTCCAGTCCCTTCCTCATCCAATTTAAAGCTTTCCTTACAGGTTTGGCCATGTTATTGGTGGAGACACTCTTGTCTCACTTGGGTGAACCCCACGAGCTCCCAATATTTCTGGCTTCTCAAAGGTAAATCCATGATAATAAAAATGAAAACTTTGAGTATTGCACCAGGTGCCAGGGATTCTATCCTGGTTCCCTTCCTCTGACTGGGAGGACAGAGAATATCACCCATGGTCCCAAACTGTCCTGTTCCAGTGCTGTTAGACCCTTGGTAGCCTCAATGACACCACAAATACAAGCTGCTGGTAAGCAACAAACTTCTCTAGAGAAAGTATCTGGATGGCAGGAGGGTGCTTCAGTGCCTCTGAGTAAGGAATCTCCAGTTACTAACACCTGATGCACTTTTCTGGTAGCACTGGTTCTAATGCCAGCAGATGGTTTTTCATCAGCTTTGAATGTTTGGCTTTTCCTGGATCACAGCAGTTATTCCATGTGTTCTTCCTTCTCCAGCCCTAGAGCATCATGTCTCTTAAGGGCAGATGGATGGGGGAAGGATCTTTGTTCTGACTTGAGCAGCCATAAAAGCCCAGCCTCCTTCATCTTGTGAGTTATCTGTGCCAGGTAGCTTGACTGAGTTTGAATTCAGGCTTACCTTCCTCCAGTTTGCTGGGCAAGCTGAAGGAACCTGCTAAGCATTTTAGGAGGCAGGATTCACTTCCTAGGAAGGGTTCTTCCAGTTTCTTATTACTTGAGAACTCACTGTAACCTAGTCACTGTATTCTCTCACAGATGAGAATTTCTCCCTTTCTGTAGCTGGAATTGTTGAAATGGCTGAGAGCTTGCTCAGCAAACCAAAGAGTTCTAGGCATATACCTTCTTCAGCTTTAATTACTGACTAGAGTGAGCACTCACTGCTCAGTTTTCTGTATATCCCTCATGTTGCTTCAACTGGCTCTGACCTATCCCTGCACACCTTGCACTGGTGCTTCCACAGCATCCATCACATCAGGATGACAAGAACAGGCAGAGGAGCATGATGACAGCCAGCTCTGCCTGCTTCTGAAACAACCTTCTGTGAAGCCTCCAAGGCAACCCCAGAAAGCAGAATAAGCAGTCCTTGTACCCCCACATTCTGAAACAGCACCAGAGCTGTCCTAGCAAAACTAGTTCAATTCTAGCAAGTACAAGCAAATGTCAGTAATGTTGTCACAAGAAATGCAAAGACAAGAACCAGCAACTTGCAGTTTAAACCACTACAGAACACTTTCCAGTGTAAATGCAGCAGCTATTTTGTATTACCATTTCATTTTTGCTGTTCAGTTTTAATTTGCTGGTATGGTAGGCTCATATGAATCATACATTACCTTCATCTGTGGTGAAAGTATTTCCTTTTCTTTCATTGATTCCATAATATCTGGAATTATCCCCCGGTATCGCAGGTAAGCCATGACATTGGCATCCAGGTGATCTGATGGCTGCAGCTCCTGCTTTAGATTAGCTGCCAAATTTGAGCTGGTATCTGCAGGAAGAGACAACCCCCATCCCCACAAAGTATCATAAAGATGGAAAGAACTTGAAACTAGAACAACCACTTGCAAAACAATGATGATTTCTTCTGCTCGTATGAATGCAGGGTCAGATTGAGTTGGTTGGTTGAGATCTCAACTAACTTCAACAAGCTAAAAATCATTAAGTTGCCTTTAGAACCAGAGCAACTGCTGTAGTTAAGTCAGGACTCACCTGAACCCCCTGCCTCTGTCCTGAAAAGGTTAAAGGAGGCACTATATACACATATCTGTATATGTGTGTGTGTATATATACACACATACAGAGAAAAAGGAAAAACATGTTTTAATACTGAAGTTAATAAAAGGTAAAAGGAATCTACAAAGTTGAACTTACTGCTGCCACATCCATCACTCATAGCAGATACTCTTGATCTTTCATCATCTTGTAAATCAGAAGGGGTCAAAGTCAGATTACCAGCTTCTCTCATCTGCTTGAGAAATTTTTCATGTTACTTTTGTTTTCTGAATGTAGCTGTTGGTTTCAGCATTTATGACAACTTTTTTACTAATGCAGATTTTAACAAATGCCTACTTGATCCAAGTGTTAGACATGGCAAATACCATGATTAATTGCAGCATTGGTGCTCCCTGGAAGCCATTCCATCTCCATTTTTTCCTCTTTTAATAGTCTTAAGATAAATGTATTTATATTTAATTACCCATCAAAGCAAGGCACACAAACATACAGCCACAGAGAAATTCTTAAGTACAGACTTTATCTTCCTGTGAAGTTAGATAATACAGACAATACATATAAATATATGGATACAATATATAAAATACTACCATTAAAAAGAAAAGCCTCTATTATCCAGTTTTGAAAGAGTCTCTTCTAACACTCAACAACAGATTGTTGAAGAAGTGGGGAGCTATTAGAGCACACTGAGTACTGTGGTAGCAAAGGTTTTAGGTTTAGCTCAATTATTGACACATGAAGTGTCACAAATTTACCAGTTTTTATCACAGTAAGAGACGAACTAATAATTTGTCCAGAACTTCACTGGACCTACTCCCAGCAGTGTGTAGGTTTCTACTAATTGGAGCCCATGGCCACTCAATAATCCCAGGGGGACAGGGCTGAGCAGTCTTGTTTAACAAGAACTAAATCAGACATGAAATATCACTTACCAGGAGCTTCTTCTCCATATCTTCATCATCATCATCCACAGAATAGGTACTTTCAGAGAAAGCTGGAGATTTTCCATCTACTCCCATTGCTGCATCCCCACTGCCATTTTCATCCAGGTTAGAATATCCCAGTGATATGGAATTCTCTCCTTGGAGGGATGACCTTGTGTTCATAATCTGAAAATCTGTGTTCTCAGCTTCTGAGAAGGGTGTCAGGTGAAGCACTGGCTGAAGTTCCATGCTTATATCTTGCTTTCTCATGATCTCAGGCGAGCCCCATGAAGACATACTTGCAATTAAATTCTGGTAATATTTTGGAGTCTCTTTGTCTATGTTCAAATTGTGTTTTGGTGAATCAGGAGTTTGATGAATTTCCAACATTTGCTGGCAGTGCTTTTTCAAATCTTGATCCCCTTCAGAGCTGTGGATCATGTCCAGCTCCTGGCACAAGATGTTTTCTTGCGATTGCTTAATCTGTGTTTTTGGATTTTTATTGTGAATAGTCAAGTCAAACATCACTTCATCTTTTTCCTGTAATGAAATAACACAAATTAATTGTTTAATGGAATTTGAGTGTGATTTTACAAACTGAGAAAAATGCACTTAAAGACCTTTTAGAATTGATTGATTTTCTTCAATCGCTTTATCTAAGCAATTTTAAGATAAAATTACTCTTAACCTCTGTTTCTGTGACTGAGTGTAACTAATGCACTATTTGAGAAGATATTTTAGTTTATCTTAAACCTTTCAACATGGAAATTTTGTCTCATGCTCCATACCTGTTAGTTTGTCAGATACAGTGAATAACTTATCCCTCTCATTTTACACCATTACCTTAATCCTCTGTGTTAATTATCCCTCTTAATCACCTATTTTAAGCCCAGTGCTAGCTGCCAGGACTTTGCTGCTCCTCCAGCTTTCATTTTAATACATTTCCAAATTTTCACATGGTTTCCACTTTGGAACCCAAGCATAAATGTAGGAGGGGTTCTTTGCTCCTTTAAGAATGCTGCATTATACTTTTCCTAATACCTGGATGAGCTAGATTCATAGAAAAAAAAGGCTATTGTAATGAATGCTTGAAGACATGGTAGTTTATTTACTTTGATTAAACATATTCTCCAATTCTGATAATTATCCCTCCTCAGCCTACTTAAAAACTTCCACTTAAACATGGAAATGCATGTACTGACATAAAAATCAATTTAAACCTTTCAGATTCTGAGTTTCTACTTGAAAAGCAGTTTTTAAAATAATTTAACTGCCCCCAGCATGCCAGCATTCCCTGATAGTCTTCAAAATGCTACCAATTCTCTCTTGACTGGATCCTAAATTAATTCTGTTTTTTAAACAGGGATCTGACAATCCCTGCCTGCAGAAACAACATGGTCCAGCAGCCACTGGGCTGGAAGTCTGCTGCCTTGTACAGACACATCCCATGCTCTCAAGTGCATCAGTCTGCATGGATCATGGAACACTTTCCCCACCTATTTCCTTTTCCTGAGAGATTTCTGGGGCAGACCCTGAATGTACAGAGTCACCCAGGCACTGATGGCACTGCTCCAAACGTGAACTTCCAGGCAAATAAAAACACAAACCCCAGGAATGATCACATGTTTTGCATGGCTACATTCTTCATTTCTGCTTTAAAAATAAACATACCTTTATACATAGCAATTATCCTATCATTTCTTTAAATAAGTCATCTACCTTGGGTGATGATTGTAACACACTGCCAAGCAGGGCCCTGAAAATCCACATAAGCCTGACACTGAAAATTTTTCCTGTCCTGTATACTTGAGCTCTCCATATAAACCCTCTTAACTAGCATTTATTACCTCTGTAAGTCAGCCTTTAAAGACAGGAACTTGGTGTATGACAGATTTCTACAGCTCTCTTAAAAAAGGGGTCCTACTGCTTTCTAAAATTGAGTGATTTAATAAGAATTTAGGTTACTTGGAGCAAATGGTTCTAGAGAAGATTCAGAATGATTACAAGAAAGAGTCACAGTAAATAAGAATTTTTGAAAGGAGACATGAAGTGTTTCCAAGCAGTTCTCCAACAGAGCCATGAAGAATGACAAACAGTCTTGGTAGCTCATGGTGGGCTCATTGCTTGGCTTGTAGATGCCCATCCTCTCACCCTCCATCCTCAATAGATCAGGAGGAAAAAAATTAAGCTGGAAAGAACTCACAGGTGGAAAGAAAGAAGGGATATCACCTATTAACTATTCTTGCAAGCAAAACAGAGTAAAATGGGGAAAATATATTTAATCTATTAATCTAGAAATGTATTACTAAAAAAAAATCTCCACAACAAATAATACTATTAAAAATAAAATCATGTACCAGTCCAGCAGTAGGGGAAGCCAGTACTCCAAATGACTCGCCAATATTTGCTTGTAATTTCTGCATTCCATTTCTAAGGGCTACATCTTTTCTTTTACTCTGGCAGAATGGCTTGAGAAATTGAGTCTCTTCATGACCTACCTGCTCCTCCAGCTTGCAAGACTCCAACTGGGAAAGAATTTCAGCTCTTTCCAGTCGCAGGGCTTCGAGCTCTTTCCTATGGGCCTTGATTTCCTCTTTCAGTTTTGCAGTGCTCCCCTGCAGTTCCTTGATTTCTCTCAGGTAAGCTACTTCTTTCTGATTCAGTGCTTGCACCTGGAAATCAAGTCTAGAAACTTCCAACTGAAGACTGTAAACATCTTGTGCCTGACTTGCACCTCTCTTTTCCAACTCTGTTTGGAGCTCTGCTGCTTTTTCTCTTAAATACTGCAGCTCAGTTGTGTCAGCTTCTCTTTGATCTGCCATTGTCTTAATTTGCAGCTCTTTCTCTAGAATATTTGTTTCCCTTTCTCTCACCTTATCTTCAAGTTCTTGAACTCGAGATGTAGTCATCTTTGTCTCAGCCTCTCTCTGAGACAAGAGAGTTTGGGAAACCCTGTATTCTTCCTGAAGTGCCTGGTGCTGGATTCTCAGGGCGGTGAGCTCTGCAACAGACTGCTCTGACGACTCTCTCAACTGTTGGCATTTTTTCTCCAAAATTTCCACTTCTGTTTTGAGCTGCAATTCCTTTTTTTCCAGTTGCTGCTGCAGAGTTTCTTTAGAAGCTGAGACAAGCTCCAGTTCCTCCTGAAGTTCTCTCACTTTGGAGAGTACCGATGCATTTCTTGTGTTTGGATCAGCATCACCTTGACAGGCTACCAGTCCTTTCTGCAACTCCTTCTGAAGGTTTTCCACTGACTTTTCCAAGGCATCTTCATAGAAATAAACTGGGTTGTCACTATCTTCATGACATACTGGTCCAAACTGTGCCAGCTCTTTTTGAAGCTTCTCAATGACTCCATGGAGTTGCTCCACCTCTTCATCCTTGTCCTTCCTTAGCCTCTCCTGGTCAAGGCGAAGGTGCTCAACCAGTGATCTGAGCTCTTCAATTTCAGGTTTTTGGTCTTCTGCAACCTAAGCAAATGGAAAAGCACTGAATCTTACTGTATGTAGGCAATTATTATTGCACACAGAGTTGATATTTCTCTTCTGAACCATATGGGCATTAAATCACACATTTAACAGCAGAAAGAACCACACATTTCAGCTGGTAACTTCTCAAAATAATCTCTACTTTGCTAAGAGAATTACCAAACAGATTTCATTTACAGTAAGAATCTGCACACCTTGCTTCCCCCAAAAATCAAGCAATGAGCATACAGTAAGCACTCTTACTTTATTCTCCAGAGCATTCTGCAGCTCATGCTGAAGTCTCTTCATCTGCTCATTCAAGTGATCAATTTCTTGATTCTTTTCTTCAAGCAGTGCTTGTGGGAATGACAAAGCTGAAGAATCACTAATACCCAGGTCCTGGCTTTGCTTCTCATGAAGTTTTGTTAGATCCTCCTGATCAGAGAAAACAAAAAAATCTCATTAGAAATGAGGACTTTGTTTAAACATTCTCTTACTTACTATAATGGTGAAGAGCTCAGGAACACAACTACAGCTTCTTTGGGTTGACACCACTGTGTCAGACTGCCCCAACCCAGAAAATAACCTCAGCTTTTGATTTAAATCAAATCACTGTAGAAGATAATGCCACAAGCACAAATGCAGAATACTGGGAGGCTTTGGTTCTATGATACCCAGCATTAGCCTTGCAAAGGTAATGCAACATTCTGATGGCAAGAGAAACAACCCAAATATCTCTTTACAACATCATGAGATGAAGACCTCAGCACTCAAGCAAGCAGGTCTCTGACATTTTAGGCACTACACTAAAGCTAGAGGAACCTACCTGCAAGTGTGCATTCTCTGCCTGAAGCTGGATGATGTTGGAAGTACTCAGGTTTTTTTGTATCTCTAACTGCAAGTTCAGCTGCAATATCTCCTCATCTTTCTTGCTCAAGTTATCTTTATATTGTTCTACTTGGTCTAGCAAACTTGCAATCTGAAAAAAAAAAAGCATAGCTGTTTCAATTAAGTCCTCTAAGATAAAACTTAATTAATCATATTATTTAATAACAAGAAGTAACTTCAGCAAATTCAGTGATTTCAACTCTAATCAACTTGCATTAATAAAACATAAATAAATAAATATAAAAAGAGTGAGAAGCTTGTGTTCCAGCTCCTCATCTGCAAAACCAAAATACTGCAAAGGTGGGTTTCTGCTTTCTTTAAAAAAAATCTACCTGCTGACAAAAGATCTGTTCATCTGTATTGTGAGCTACCAAACCTTGAATGATGCCATTGGATGTAACAATATGAGACAAATTAGCATTTGATGTGGAACAAAGATAAGCAGTTGATACAAACACCATCCTTGTCCTCCCAGAAGCCAGAAATGAGCCTTGCAGTGCCAATCCCAATAACACAGACAACAAAGAGATGATTCAACAACCACACTTTTCTCTGCAGTGTGATGTTGCCATCCACTGTTTTCATCATCTCTTGCCTTCATGGGTAGCAGGGTCTAGTGGCTTTGGGAATTATGACTGCTGAAATCAGACTTTGTAAGAGAAATGGAAATTCCATCTTTAAAGAAATTAATTTTTATTATCTTGTTCTGCTCTTGAAAGAATGGTACAATTGACTAGAGGATCACTCCTGTTTTTTTCTTGACACATCCTTAATTGGACTATGTTTCTGTATCACAGGTATTGTAATAATATAAACATACAGTGGGGTTGTGTATGCATTTATACATGTAAATCCAATAAGAGTTTAAGATATTGTGAGCAATTTCTCTGCATTTCTTCTTAGCTTGACGCAAAAATTCACCACATTCTCTCAAAACAGGTTAAATTACACCATTATGGTGTAATAATATATAATAATTATCTAAAATTATATAAATGTATATAAAATTATATAATAATTATCTCTCACTCTCAAACAAAAACTTATCTGCCTATTTCAACTTTGGAAGGAAAGGAAAATCAGCTTACAACTGACAGTGATCAGTCGCAAAGTTATGTGAATCACCACAAGACAGTTTCCAGCAGGAAAGGAGATGAACACAGAACAAAGCAAGAAAAAGGAAGGTTTGTTGGTTTGTTGAGGCCAAAGCAACTCAGTCTGTAGAACTCTCCCAAAGCTCTCACCTCTCCCTCCTTGGCCTGAAGTGCTTCCTGCTCTGCCTGCAGCTGCTCCTTGAGCACCGGGGCAGAACTGCCCTCCACTGGCACTCGGTGCCTTGCCTCATCCAGTTTAGACTGCAGGGCAGAGATCTGGATCAGGTTGTTGTACTGCTGCTGTTGCAATGCCTCTTTATCCTGAAAAATGATTTTTTTTCATGTTAGAATTAATTGCTGTCAATATATAAAACTACTTAACCAGAAGAATCCTGCTGAAAGATTTCATTGACCCTGACACACCCAGTACAAGAAGAAAAGGACATAATCCCAGGGGCCTACAAAGAAATAGGAATTCAAAACAACTGAATGCTATTAGCTCATTTAAATTTTTACCCCTTTACTTTTTGTAATCCAAGTTTAACAACTTCAGAAAATTTAGCATTCAGTGATAAATTACACTCTCAGCTACACAACACTTTATACGTTTAAGAACATAACATCTTGCTCTTCTAGCCATTTCCAAATTTGTTATGATACCATCTATGTGCCAAACTAAATTTGATAGATGGACACAGTTTAAGAAATGAAGAGTTCTGGGTAGGTCAAAACCTACTCACAAGCACATCAAGTTCAGTCAGAATGTGATAAAGCAGCACTAAGTTTGTCCAACCTGTGATCTGCCAAGCTACCATGGCTTATTTTATTTAAAATAAAAAAATGGGTTTTGATCCTCCTCCTCTCACAGTCCTTCTCAGGAGCTGGGTCAGTCGAAGGAGGAAAGGTTCACTTGGGAATTGTCCAAAGAATAAGCCTACATATCTGTACTCAATACAGTAAAGCTTGACAAGAAACCTAAGGCAGTAATTGCCTCTGCTGTTCAACACTTACTCTGCCCATAGTTTAATGCACATATCTTTAACAGGTTATTTTAGACTCATTGTGTCATTTGTAAAAAAAATATATCAATTTAACCATCTTTTCTCTATTTCAAGAGATCTAAGACTCCGAGCACATGGCTAGCATCTTCTGATTGTAAACTGAAAGGAACAGCAATTAAAAAAAATTGCAAAGTTAATGTGGTATCACAGTATCAAAAAGGGAAAACCAGACATTTTTCTTGCCCTCACATGTAACCAGCCTTCTGGCAACCCAGAAAGAACACACATACAACCAAACCAAACCCCAAGCAAGAGCAGTACCTTGTTTTTTTTTGTTTTTTGTCAACTAAAAACATGACCCAAAGGACACTGATCACTGCCCAAAACCCTTCAGCAGCAATGTGCAATCCAGACTACTGCAGAAGTGGGCTGCCTCAGCTCCAGTGTCCCTGCCTTCCCTGCAAAGCTGCAAGTGTGCAGGGGCAGCACAGCTCTGCACACAAGAGTTCAGCTCCTCCTGGCATTCTCCAGTTGCCATGTCCTGAGGTTGCTACAGCAATCCAGAAAAATCAAATGGCAAACCAGACAAAAATCAGGGTTTTATATAATGCATCTTCACTGTAAAACTTTCTGGGTGCTCATTCACATGGAGTCTAACAGGGTGTCTTCTTCCATGAATCCCAAAATCCATAGGAGAGCAGATTCCCTAAATCAGCCCCACTTTTTAGATCTCAAGCAAAAGGATGAGTGATGCTCCCAACCCACCCCCATCCAGGAGCTTCAATGTTTCACATCAGCGACCTGAACCACTGAGAGGAACTGGGGCAGGACAGAACAAAGATCTGCTCCATGCTCATCAGCAGGGCAAATCAATCTGTCAGCTGTGACTTTACTCAGCTCCAAACATTCTATATTCAAGACATTCTATTCCCAGATCTATTTCTTATTCCTCCATCACCTGCAATACATGAATTTTTCATATGTTGGAATTTGGGGGACAAGAAAACTCTGCAATTACCATTCACATCAAATGTACTTTTAGAAAAATGCCATGGCATGTAATTGCTCTCAGAGCTCCATTGGAACTTATTTACTGCACAAAGTTGCTTCAAGACAAGCTATCAAAATGCTTTCAGGTGGCAAATTGAATAGTACAACCTCGCTTAGTGTAGATTGGATGAATTAGCTTCTAGGGAAAAAAAAAGAACAACCAAACTCAAGAGTGAGTCTGGATTATTTGAGATATTTACAAAACACCAATGATGGGGACAGGCACACAACCAAAAGAATATTCTGAATTCACAAGGATAAAGAAAGCCTGAACAGCAAGTCAAGATTCCAGAGAAAAGTGAACTTGCCAACAGCAAGTCTCCAGTCTCCATCTCCTCCAAGGCAGACAAAGTAAATGGGCATGGCTTTTGTATGTTTGGATAAAACCACAGCAAAAATTAAACTCAGAGTGGTCTTTAGAGTTCTCTAACTCAAAGCACAACCAAGTTGGCTCTGCTCAGGCCACTCTCCTATCTCCCAGTCAGGGACATCACTGCCACTCTGAGCTTCCTTTAAGGAAGTGTGAACACTTCCCCCTTCCATTTAATTGCAATTTCCCTTGTTTATATGCTCATCTTCTCATCCTTTCATATGCACCTTCTAGTCTGACTCCACCTTACTATAACCTCCTCTTATGTGACTGTAGGCAACAACATTCCCACAAAGCTTTCAAGAATACTCAGCCAAGGAAAATTATTGGGAGGATACTGAACATTCAGTTTCAGATGGTAGGGAAAGTTATTCAGATGTTTGGTAACTTTTGCTAAAGGATTGTATGTAATTCTTAACTCTAGGCTGTGAATAACTCAGGAGTAGTAACAAAGTGCTAGAAGTTTTGGACTATGGCAAACAGATTTGGCTTAAGACCCAGAGCAAGAAGAGCTACAGATTAAGATAATTTGATTTTAAACACAGGTATTTATTAAAAACTCAGTGTATGATATTCAGTAACAACACCTTCTCAGAAGATTCCAGAAAACCTCAAGAGCAACTCTGAAGCAGCAAACATGTCAACTGTTAAAAGCAGCCTTCATAGTAGGACTTTGAGTCTTATTTAAGTCTTACAAGTAATATCTAAGTACACACCACTTACAAGTAGTAAGTAAGTGCTTATAATGGACTTAGAGTTTGCAGAACCAGAGATTAAAACTGTGGCTGTGATATGTGCCATTAATATACCAGTTTAACTCAGCACTGGGTGCCAGACAGCTTCACAAACACTACTGACAGCCCCCTTAAAGCCACTGTCGTGTAGTGCCAACCCCATTTAAATTAAGGATTTTAAAATTACCTGTTTCAGTTCAGTTTCCACTTTCTTCATTTTCTGCAGCTGTTGCTCCAAGCTCTGTACAGTCTTTGAGACCTCAGCACCACTGACCTTCAGCTCTTGGATCTGTGCTAAAAGATTTTCTATCTCTTTATCACGAGCTGCAATTTCTTGGTGTTTTCGCTCCTTTTCTAGTAACAGTTTATTGTAATCATCCATCTTCTCTTTTATTTCTGCTTGCAAAGATTCTACCTACACAGGAATCACAGTATACAGATATTCAGGCAATATGAACAAACTTCCTGCCACTTGAAAGCAAGAGTAATTTCACATTGAAGGAGGTTTTACTACGGATTAAAGCGGTGCTAAAATCTCAGGTGAAAATAAAACTAAATATGCACAGAAAGTAAGAAAAAGTTAGCTTTCTGAAATCTTGTTTTCCAAATGCAGCAGCTCTTAGATACATGTTTGATTACTCTCTCAACATCTGCAGTACTCTCAAAGTACTAGATGAAGGTATACTCTCAAAGGAGAGTTTTGGTGATGGGGTTAGTTGGTTATCAGATTAAAAACCCACCAAGACTACATGAGTTATTAATAATAGCATTGTATTTATTCCTGTAACCTCAGAACCCTCTTCCAGTATTCCAAGGAATTCCAGTTTAGAGGAAGATACCAGGAACTGAAGGATAAATATGTCATCAAAAAGACTCCCAGGAGTCAACATAGGACAGGTACTTAACTTTGCAAAAATCATTTAAATATGAAGAGCATACAAATTCTGAATTTAGCTGCAGGAAAACAGTCATTCATTGATCCCAGTAATCAAGGTGAAGGCAAGGCTAGGAGCTTTATTGTGACAGACACACTATCTCAGGGTGTGATACAGTCATTTAGCATAGTGAAAGCAAGCTCAGGCAGGAAAGCAGTGGGAATGGAAAAGTAATTTGGTCAATACCTATGAGCAAGGAAGATGGGATTTTACAAAATAAATGTTTTGTTTATCAGAAAGTATCTGAATTAATGTAAATCCCACTTCAACATCATGAAATAAAAATTCTTTGCATTAACATCGATCTCTACATCTTCAAAGTATTGTTCAGATATAACTAAAGCAAGAAAACACACTTGAGCAAATCAGAGAGTCAAATAATCAACAGGGAGAGTGTAGGAGACAGGTCAAGAAAACCAGAAGTTATGAAGATTACATTTTCAAGCTGCTTACAGGCACTAACATTTCCTTGACTGTGTGTATATCTTAATCCCTTCTCATCTCATCAGCAACTGACCACTGCTAACCATAACACAGGTCTTACAGGAAAGCTTTTGGGTACAGAAAAATCTTCAAGAAGTCTAATCTTTCTAATGCTACAAGGCTTTGGCATCAGAATCCCCAAACTTTGACATTTCAGACATAAAAAGCATGTTTTTAACACCACATTGCTAGAAAGCTGGTGCTGCAATCCTGTAGCTAAGAAAACACTTCCACATAACCTTCACTCTCACAGTGCAGCTCCAAGAACCAGTCAGCACTTTTCACAAAATAATCCCACTTACACATACCTTGTACCTAGTAATCACCAGAGGGGGGAAACTTGCTCTAAGTGCTACATGAAAAAATCAGGAGTTCACTTGAGCTGGTTTGGGGTGAATTAAGCACTTACTGATGTTACAGCTGCATTAAACAAGTGAACAAATACTGACATTTCATGGCACAGAATGCCTGTATAGCTCACCCTGCCCACAAACGTCACTTGCTTAGTTACCATCCTTGTGTCTGTTTCTCCAAGTAAGTTTTCATCCTTTCTGAGAGAGGTTGCAAAGATACAGCATTCATTTTTTCAGCTATGCTCTCCAGCATGGGAAATTCATTTACTGGAAATTCATTCATATTTTAAATATGGATGTGCACATCGAACACTGAGGTACACAATTCCATAACTGTACATAAATAGACAGATGGAAATGAAATTAACCACAAGTTTTGATAAGAACCAGGCCACCAACAAAAGGCACAGTTTTATCATCACCATTCCAGTATCTTTGTTTCATGCTCCAAACCTCAACTTCTCATCTTATACCAAAAGGCTGTTTCAGTGAATAACTGCCTGTAACACGTCTGAGCAATAAGCCAGGAGAGCTAAGTACCTATGCACAGAAAATTAAATTGAAAGCAGTCATTCATTCCCTGCAAGAATTCTGCCACCCTAAAACTTGTATTCTTAGCTCCAAGTCATGCCTTGACATACCAAGAAGAGGAGAAAAGCTAAAGCATATCTAGAAGGGATTGAAAGGAAAAGGAAAGAAAAGTTAAGAGGCATTCATGCTGTTTTCCATACCTGTAGAATCAATTCATAGTTCTGTATAATGTTCATTTATGTGAAAAAAACAAAACAAACAACCAATCAAAAAGGAAAAAAAGCAAAAGTTAATCTTTGAAGCCAAGCATCAAACAAACAAAACTGTGTAAACAAGGACTCATTCATAAACTTAAACAGGATGAGGCATGCAGACAAAGGACATTTCTATTACAATTGTTTAGGTGGAAAAAATAAACACATTTAGAACCCAGAAGTCATTTCTTGGAGGTGCTTTTTACAGCAGTGTCTGTAGTGTCGTCCTCCTTGGTTCCTTTAAACCAGGCCCAGAGGTTCCTTTAAACCAGACTCAGAAACTTTACTGTAAAGCACCTGCAACAGTTCTCTCCATCTCCATAACAAATAATACAAGTGCAGCCTCATTGCCTAAATGTAGTTCAATCAGCTGGGGAAAAATCTGCCCTCTGGGTAACAGAGGAAAAAAGCTCTCCCATGAGCCAGACCCCCAAGAACATACAGTTTTGATAATTATTTGTAATTAAACAAACTCTGTTGCCACCAAGTCTGATTTTACTCACCCTATGCTCTCTGGATTGTCCTGAAGTCTGTGATTTTGCTGACAGTTTTAACTGTTCTTCCAATTTTTGAATTTCCTGCTGAAAATCATCGCGCTCATGTTCCCTTTCTATGGCTTGTTCCTGTAAACCCAGCCAGACAGAATCAAAATATTTTGGAAGATTTCATTACAATCCTGAGTACAAGAATAGTTAGGGTTTGTTTTTGTGGTGAAGAAACTCTTAAAGAACAATTAACTAATTATTAATAATTAATTAGCATATCAAAGCATATCTACAGTGATAGGGAAATTAAAAAAAGAAAAAGCACCTTTTTTGACTACAACATACATATAAACCACAATTATCATTTAATAAAAAGGAAGAATTACCCTGCAATACTACAAAAACTGAATAGAAAATTTAACTTTTTTATTCTTTCATGAGACTAGCACACCAAGGGCTTAATTTCAACCAAAACTAAAAATAGAGCCCATTTTGGGAACCACCTTCCATGTCTCAAACCAGGATGAGAATTCTTCACCTCCAAACCCATGGAAATGCTCTCTCTTACTTACATCCATGAACTGCCTCTGGTTTTTAAGCTGCTTTTCAAGAACTTCAATTTGCTGTTTTAATTCAGTAATCTCCAGTAACTTTGTAGCCAGGTCTTGGTTACTTTGCAGCTGCTCTTCCAGTTCCACCTCCAACACCTTCATCTGAGAGCGCAAGTTGGAATGGTCCTTTTCTGCCTGACACTGAAGCTCAAGTTTCTCCTTGGACAAAAATTCTACTTCCTTGAGTAGACCTGAGTAAGGACACAAAAATAATAAAAGTTGTCAGCGGAGGGTACAAAAGTAAAATATTTTGGATGAGATTAAATTTGGGTATTTTAGCATCAAAATAAGGAAAAATATTTATTCCCGAGGTGAGCTGTTAAGAGACATCTTATACTGCTCTACCCTAAATCCTTGCCACCCTTCTGTCCCAAATCTCTCCTTGATCAAGCCATGCAATACAGAATTCTCAGTTCCTCTAAACTCTCATGCCAAGATCCTTCTTAGCCATCCAATATCCAGTCTTGGGCTAGCTTCTCCATGGCTCCTGCCATCTCTACTGCAGAGTCAGCACCCAGACCATCTTTCCAGGGGCCACTAGGCTCAGCCTGACCCTGAAGGCAGCTGCTATGAAAAAACAAAATTCAAGTAAATGTACTTCTCTGAACATGAGTAGCGATTAAAACCCAGAGAAAAATCATGCTTACAGAAAATCAGTCCAGTTCTGAGGTTATAAAGGGAAGAAAACACCTGGGAAAAAAAAGATGGCACATATTTCCCCTATGCAGAAAAAGAAATACCAAAAAAGGGAAGTGCACATAGCTAAAATTATTTAAGTTATCAAGAGTTAATTTACAGCTACAAACTGCATTTTCAATCAGTTGAATGCACTGAATACATTGTTTAGGAGACCAAAACTGTGAACATTCTTGGAGAAAAGCTACTTTAATTGTGAATATAGTTAGTAACCTGTGCATGAAAAAAAGCTTGTCTATTTTGCATCAAAGCAAGGCCCTGCAACAGCTTGTGATTTTACTTTTCAAATGTAGCATTATTTTCCTCAAACATTTTTGGTTTCCAGATTAAAAGTAAGTCTGTGATGCAACAAGGACCTGAAGAAATCATCCAGCCCAATTTCCAGGAGAGACAATTCCCTTTCTGAAGTATGAACCATACAATGCATATGATGTCTGACCTAATGTCATTACAAGCCGCTCTTACAAATCTTTGCTACCACAGCCTACCTACAACAAACATCTCTTCTAGGGCTTCATTATCCACAGATATTTAATGACATTTCCAGACCCTTGATATTAAGCAAAAAATCATGAAAATTTCCATATTCATGTATAAAAAGAAAAGTGTGACAGGCTTGGAATAATGCAACATTTACAGTACACATTGGGGAAAACATCACCACAGCGAGGATAATGGAAAACAATGAGGAGTCTGTGAATTCATTGGCTCTGGGAAAAAAAAAAGCCAGACAAAGAGAAAGAAAGAAAGTTTGGGACAAAAACATGGACTACGTGAGCTCTGGAGCTCCACAGCAATCCTGTTGTAGATTACAGTTACACTCCAACTACATTTCACTCCAAGCACTAATTATAGCCTACATAATAACCACAGTGCAATCACTGTGCCACACTCCCCACTTTCTATTTTATTTTAAAATAATCACAAGTTCATTTGGTTGTGGATGTAACTCAGGCTCTGACAGCATGCATGAAGCGAAAACTCTGCCCTAATTTCTCTCCCAGTCACCTTGGAGCTGTATTATACATATAATATATTACATGTACCATGTAATGCAACAGAAAAAACCCACAATACTCAACAATATCTGAATTCCATTAGGACATCCAATCCCAGCCATAGGTGCATGACAGAGATGATCTTTTGCCAAGCAGGAGATGGGAATAATGCGAATAAAATAGTACTCTAGTGTATTTACTAACACATGGTGCAGAGAGGAGGGCAAGGTCAGTTGCTAGAGATATTTGGGCACCCAAAGGAAGGGTCATGGATTTAGACTGACCCTGAAAAAAAAAACAATTGGTATTTGGGAAAATAAGTACAAGAATTTTGCCTCCTACATCCCAAGAAACTTGGCTGATGGCTTCTTTTTTAGCTTCCAGAGGAACACTAGTGCTTTTTAGAGGAACAAAATACTGATTAGGTAACACTGACCGACACAGTCACAGTCACCTCCTCAGACAGAAATGCAAATTAATTGAAAAAAATAATTAGGCAAGCAGATTTTACCTGGAATCAGCAGTATTTCATAGAAAGCAGGTGTCAAATTTTGGTAACCTCTAAGCTCAATCTTTCTGACTTTTTTTTTTTTTTAAGCACATGTTCCTCAAGTGTATAAACAGAATTTCAAGCAACACACCAACAGATCACCAGCTCACAAATTTGTTTCTTTGTAGAGACAAACCTATTTTATTAATGCTACTTCACATCATGCAGTTCCCCTTGGGAAAGGCCCCAGCACACTCCTTCCCACTCCCCAGATCATTAGCAAATGCCAAGCTCCATTCCAAAAGAGTTTTAATTAGCAAGGCCATTCTACTCACATTAGTACTCCACATGGAAAACAGGAGAAGTCAGCTTTTCAAGGAATAAACCTATGTCAATCAGCTCCAAACAATATGATTTATATTTATCATGTTTTCCACATACTACAAACAATTCCAAACCTGAGGAAAAGTACTACAGATGACTGGGGTGAGGGAAAGGGGATGGATTTCAGCACTTGGCCCTTGCAGCAAAAGGAACTGCTCAAGTTCTAAGGAGCTGCTGGCAAGAGCTGGGCTGCAGCTCCTGGGAGAATGTCAATCCTAAAATACACCATAACCAACTCGGCTCTACAGAGGGCAGCAGCAAATTTCAGGACAGTGAGGTGGACACCAAAAATAGGTTAATTAAAAATAGCGATTGAGGGAGATGTGAATGGACAGAAGGAATAAAGATACAGTAATGGGTAGGAAAACTCAGTGCAGCTTTTTGACTCTAACAGGAATTTACCTACATAACTTTTTATTCACCTGAGTGATTTGGTTTACTCAGCTCACACTCTCTAGGGAAAAGAAAAAGTCCAGAAACAAGAAACAGTGACTATGCAAGAATCTATGAATATATACATGTGTATAAATACAATTAATCTAAAACACAATAGGAGAATTATATTTCAAGTAGATCACAAAATAATAATGTGAACTATGAATTTACCAGATCTAAATGTTAGGCATTCAGGAGTTTAGTATGCAAACTTCAGTTCAGGAGGAAAAAAAATTGCTTTCAATTTGACATCTATAAATTTGACTACAGCACTTGACTTCCAAAATTAGTGTGTAACTCTAAGGATCCTTCCTGCTTATTTCTGGTTTCTTCTTTTATTTCTTTACTTGGTAGCCTTCTCTACCATTCTCCTTCCCTACCATTCTGCTTTTATTTTTTCTGACCTACCAATCCATTCAGTTACATTTCTCTCATCTCCCTTAGATATCCTTCAGTTCTTGCTGTACTTTTTTTAGCTCAATTTTATGTCACCTCAAATACTTTTCTTTTTTTCCCATCCCTTTAACTTAATTTACTCATTTTGACAGCCAACTTTGTATCACTAGCAGGTCACAGCCAGCTTGCAACCCACTCTATCCCCTCAAAAAAATGTAGCTGGCAAATACAAAGACAATGGCACAATGCACTTTAAGCCTGATGGAAGCAAAACATATTTTTCACTTCAAATATTCATTATTGAATTGAATATTCCTAATTTTGCACCACAGAAGTCATAGCTTTTTATGGCCAAGACACTTATAAACCCAGTAACGTGTTGGGCCTAATTATTAAGTACTATTCCTCATTGTTAAAATAAAAAAACAAAATATCAATTCATTCACTCAGCGTTACAGCAACACAGCAAGAAAAACTCCACACTTGTCATTACAAACCTGAACCTTCTTTTTGTGCTACATTAGCAACAGGTGTTCCTAGAAATCGAAACACAGACACATGGACAAGATGAATAGGGCATTGCAATCCATTTCATCTTCTAGACCACCAAAACACAGAATGGAATACAGATAGTGTATGTAAATACAGACAGTGTCAAACTTTAGGAATTTCATCTTTATTGTGCCACAAAGCACCTGATGACCTTGGTCCATGTCTGGAGAGCTTTCTGCCTTTACAGGAAGAGCCTCTCACCTGTGTACCAGTCTGAGCTGTTCATTAGTCATCAAGCCAAACTGACCCATGACAGGAGGACACTGCAATGTGCCCTGGCTGGAGGAAAGTTGGTTTTGTGCTAAAAATTCTGCACCCTCTACTCACCAAGAATTGCCTGCTCCTGGGTGAGCTCCTGGAAGCGCTCCCTCATGTTCTCCAGCTCCACAACAAGACGACGCTCAGATTCCTCTTTCAGGTTTAAGGCCTCTTCTAAAGCAGCTTTTTCTGCAACGTAGCCTTCAATAATGCCTGGAAGCCAAGACAGAATGCAAATAAAGCCATAGACAAGCTCATCTGCTGGGAAAAAGCACCTTGAAAACATCAGTAAACAACTTCTTCCAAACGATGGAAGGTGACAAAAAGGAAGAAGATGATTTATATTTATAGTGTAGCTAGGCTTTTGAAGTGTCTTAAGGAATAAAATGTACTAGTTATGTATTCTAAGATTATCAAGATTTTATGAGGCTGACACAACACAAAGTGTCTCCAAACCTGTAGGGTTCAAATGGGCATCATTAAGCTTTGATGGCCTCAGATGAGCTTACAACACATCCTCTACTAAGGGCTGATGTTTCAAGAAACAACCTCCAGAAAGTAAGATCAAATGTTAGATTTAGAGCCCAAGAAACCCAGGAAAGCATGTCACAGATATTGGGAGGAAAAAGCTGTGGGTAAATGACACTGCAATCTCAGCCAGGCTCTGTTTCTTACCCTCTGCCTTGTGAAGCTCCAGTGCCAGCTGGTTCTTGGCCTCGCTCTCCTCACTGAGGCACTCCATCAGCTCCTGGTGCTGGCTCACCACCTGGGCCGTCTCCCGGTTGCGGCGGCTGAACTCCTCCTCAAACTGGGCATGGTTCTCATGCATCTTCTCCAGCTGCAAGGGAATAATTGCCCCAGCATCAGACCTCAGATGCACATGCAAGGCAACAACACCAAAGACATTTCAACAAAAACCTAAAATTTTTAATAACATTTATGCATTAAGGTCCAAGATTTGAAGTTTCATTTCTGTACTAAGCTGACTTTGCCCAAAACCTCTAGACCCTTTGGTGAATCCCTGTACTTGCATACCAGTATTTTTGTCACAAGTCCTGCTTAGGAACATAAGTTTCTTCACTGTGCATAAAAGAAATACCTCCCTCTTGGCTAAACTGCTTAGCTTGACACTTCCTGAGCCACTTGAAATTCAAAGCACCCACTTAAATTCTCCAAGAGAATCAGTCACATCTAATAGACAGTGAAGTCCATGTATCATCAGGTTTCCAAGGAACACCCCCAGCGAGCAAAGTATGCTGGATCACAGCTGATGAGGGTCACCTAGAACCCAGATCTGCCATGGCTTGGGCAAGTGCTTTAACCACAAGTTAGCTATGTCTCAGTGGAACCACCATCAGTAACTAAAAGTAAATTTATGCACCTCATTCTAAGAGTGATTTTTGAAGATGGTGAATATACATTTCACACAGACACGTATCTCTGGGTTTGACAAAATACCCAATGAGTAGATTAATTTCAGATATGTTTTTCCCTTGCCATCTTCTCTTCAATCAGGGACTTCCTTACCCAACAAACTAATTATTGTCACACTAAATTAGATCCTCATATGCACACAGTGCTTGTCAATCAACCCCAGATGTGCAGTTTAGACACTGCAAAAGCCAGTATAGAAATACTCAAGTTCTTTTATGAATGCACTAAGTGCATCAACTTTTGTCACAATTAAAGCAGCATATAATTACAAGGACATTTGTTTGCTGCTATCTACATATTCCCCAAGCATTCTGACCTTGGACTGAGTTTTCCTGAACCTGCTTATCAGTGTTGGAAAGGCATCAATGTGAAGTGTGATAAAACACCCTCAAAAAATCTCCTTGTCTCCTCTAAATTCATTTGGAAGTTTCCAAATTAATTTAAAATCCTAGTTTAAATCTACTTCAGGTGACCAATCTATTGCCTTCCCACAGGATCTCAAAAAAACTTCTTTTCTCCTGAAGTTACCAAATGAATTTAAAACCCTAGTTTAAATCTACTTCAGGTGACCAATCTATTGCCTTCCCACAGGATCTGTTGAAAGGTTGAATACACAGCCTTAAAACTGATTTCACATTTTCAGTGTTACACACAAAATCATGGAATGGTTTGGTTTGAAAGGGACCTTTAAAGACCAGCTAATTCCAAACCCCTGACATGGGCAAGGACATCTTCCACCACACTACGTTGGCTCTGTACACATTAAAAAGCTTTACTTGTTTAGTTGACTCTGTAACCAGTTCCAGAAGTCTCTCCACTGCAGTGCGCAAACGATGACAAATTTTCAGTATCGCTTCTTCACTTTCAAACGCCAATTCTGGCTTTGCAAAAACACTTTCACATAAGTATTGGCTCAGCTCAGACACCTCATCAGTCCCTAGAGACAGCTGGTTGTGCTCTGTGAGAGTTTCATCAAGCAGCTCCTCTACTGAAAACAAGGAAGCTATTGGAAAACACAGAAAAGTGACAAAATGGGTCACCCAGAAAACTGACATCAGGCAGTGACATGGTCCTGGACATGCAGTACAGGATGAGAACTTGGACCCATCAACAACTCAATGTTGAAAAATCATGAGGGCTTTTCACAAGGTTTGGCAATCTTGTGCTATGCATCAGGACCTGGAACTCTGCATTCATCAAGTCCATCTTTCCTGCCCCATGATCTATCCATGCTTTTCTAACAACATTTTAGTAATTGCACTATTAAAAGAATTAAACAGAGAGAACACTGGCAGACACTATCTTAAGTGCAGACCAGCTTTGAAAGACACAAACATTGCAAAAAGAGATATTCTCTTTCTGATCTTCATCCATACAAAAGGATATGAAAAGGCAGTTTTCAAGAACATGAATTGACTACATCCAGGTTTGCTGATTTGTACTCACCTTTTTCTAGGTGATGGTTTTCTTTGGCTTTGAAATACTGCATGAATCCCATTTCTTCCATAATACTCTGGGCTTCTTTAGAATCTCCAGAAGGCAGACTGTCATCAAGGCAAAGACCAATCTTGCTACAGATAAGGTCCTCAATAACTACTGTAGCCTTCACCACTTCCATAAGCAGTTTCAAAACGTGCTGGTAAGATTCACGCAGTTTTTCCCTAGAACAAAAACATGTTAACATTTGAAAAATTGCACACACTTGATTTGAAAGACACTTTGAACCTGTCAATCTGACAGTCTAAAATGGGTATCTGCCATGGTTGGCAGTTATCAGTGAAGATCATTCAGATGACTCACAAAAAACAGGTCATTTTTAAAGAGCTGGCAAAGCTGATGCCTTGTCAAGGCTGACCCAGAACAGAGACTAGATGGAGTTAAAGAATAAAGCAGGGATTTATTAGAAGCCCTCAATGGATCCACCTTGGGCAGCACAAGAGCCCAGCCAGGGCTACACCCAAGATGAACCAAAATGGTCACAAAATGCACAGCAGGTCACGGGGTCTCTCACTTTTATAAGTCTGGTCTGTTTGCATATTGGAGTTAATTGTCCAATTACAGCTTTAGGTTATGAAGTCCCATCCTTCTTTTTCTCTCTTCAGTCCACCATGGTTTATGCTCTTGGGCCTAAAATTTGGATCCTTTGTCCCCAGCTAGAGAAGGAATTGTTTTGCCTCCCTACTCTGTGAAGAGAGCTCACCATCCCCTAATATGAAGCTCAGAACTACACACTAAAGCAACACATAATATGAAAAATATAAAAGCTAAAACCCAAGGCATCACAACAAAACACTTTTGTCATCTCCAGTGTCATCACGCTACAGTCACAAGCATCTCAGCCTTCCATACCGGTGGAAGCATCAGCAAGGAAGACACTGCTACAGGAGGAGGAGCAAGGAGTCCACTACTACACCATCACTGACATCAAAATAACTAGAGGGGGTTCTGGCAGACCTGACAACAAAAGCTCTATTTCTATTTATGAACGCATTTTAGTTTTAAGATTAACACTAAGCCAGTTTCTGAAAGATGAGAGAGGGAATTCTAGAAGCTTATTCAACATGACAGCTCCTCTAATCCCCTTGACATGTCAAACCAATCCACTCCATCTGAAAGCCTCTTGGTCACAGAACCTCTCACCATTTTCTTAGATTTTTCCAAGATTAGAGGCAGCAGACACCCCAAAACACCAAAGTCTTCATCACACTGAAAGAAGAAGAGCAAGAAAAAAACCCAACTTGCTCTTAACGTCAGAATAGATTGATAATTAAAAAAACCTCAAAATAATCTGCAAATAAAAGCAATATATCATCCTCCAACACTACTATTTTTGAGATGGCTTAATTTTGCTTAGTTATTGATTTCTTTAAGAGAAGGGAGAAAACAAGCAAATAGAAAAGCACTAAGCATTATGCAACCAAAGATGAACAAACCTTTCTTCCTTGGACTGCTCCATGTCAGACCTCAGCAAGGCCACCAAATTTCCTCCTTCTTGGTTTTCCATGCCCCGCCACTGAAGGAGTGTCTCCAGTTCAGAGTTGGTCTCCCCTATTTCCTGCTTTAAAGAGGCCACTTTCTTTTCCAGCTGTGGGAGTACAGTGACAACACAAAGTCAACAATTTCACCTAGACATTGCTTTATAAACTCTACCTGAAAACAAGTTTCTAGAAAAATTACTCATTATCTTATATTTATTTTTTCAGATGGTACCTATACCAGACTAAAACATACAATCACACATAAATAAAAATACATATTTGTATGAATACACCCACCCCCACCTCCAGATTTTGCTGCCAAACAAATGACTGCCATTTTGTCAGAAACTCTGTCTCATCAGTAAACTAGCCAATAAGTCAAAATATTATTTAGGAGAAAACTGCAAAGACAGAAAAACATTCTGCTCCCATGCCAACATTCTCAACCCTCAAGTCCTACAAGAAGAGCTGGAAAGAGGAAGGCATTCCCAGTCAGGAAATTCTTAATGTTAACTAAGAATTAGCATTAACATAATGTTAACTAAGAATTAACTAACATCCCCCTAGTCTAACATACCACAAGAATTATACCTGCAGTCCCTCTATACACGTTGAGGCAGAGAGCCCTGTGCTAAAATACAACCCCAAAAGCACATTTAGAATCTAGGTTTAAAGTATTTTCTCCACACCTGGTTAATTATTGCTGTTCTTTCCTGCAGCTGGGCTGACAACATTTCTTGCTCCTTTTGGTGAGCAGCCTGTGCCTGAATCAACATCTGCTCCTTGTCGTGTAGTGATGCCTTTTTTTCAGCTTCAAATTCTTCCTGCATAAATCACATATACTTGGATTTACTGAGAGAAGAAAAAAAATGCCCAAACACCATCACCATCCACCAAAAAAACCCTCAAACATCCCCTGTATTTTTTTCTGTATTCTTTAGAAATAAACATTTCGCCTCTCAGAATAATAAGCAGTAACTTACACATCAACACCTCCAAACAACAAAATTATGCTGAAACTGTGATCAAAATCAAAACTAGTGTGGCCAGCAGAACCAGGGCAGTGACTGTCCCTCTGTATTCAGCACTGATGAGGTACAGTTTTATCTGTGAACACCAATACACTACACCTATTTTTCACATTGGCAAGTCAGGAAAATAGCTTTTCCCCATGGCAAGAAATAAGACTTCAGAGCAGAAGACCTGAGATGGATCCTCTGCAGAGGACTGAGCCAGTCTTTGCCCCATGCTCTAGCAGTTAGGAAGGTAAAAATGAGCTGACACAAAGGGGTAGGATGACTTTTCTTGACCTAGAACATGGCATTTGTGGACAAAAGCAGCCTGCTTGTTCTTCTCAGAAGCACTCAGAGAGTTAAGTCAGAGCACAGACAGCAATTCTGAATACCTCAAATCTGCTAGGGAGGCAGAGGGAAGAAACCAAGGGAACAGACTGGCATGAAGACAACTGTATAATCAACACAGGGGAGTGGGAAGGAAAAGGCTTGCTGTAAAAACCTGTATCAGCCCACAACACAGCTCAGTCTGACACTGCAAGGAGATCCAGCCAGTCTCTGCTGGGACAAAACACTGGTTAGCAAGTACATGAGGCAAAAAACCCATCTGAATCCACAGACAGCTGCACCAGCAGGAGAATTAGCCCTGGAAAAGCTTCATCAGAAAGTGAAGTTTCTGGTGTTGCAAATGCTAATTAAGGTAGCATAAGGGAAAAAAGCAGGGATCATTTCTGCATAACCCTCAGTCCTGTCCCAGCTTCTGTGAGCTGAAGGCTGGGGTTCAGCTGGGGACAGCAGTGCCAAATATACCTGCAGCAGCTTTGCAGGACACACTTGTGCCCTCTGTTTCAAAAGACAGCTGCACCAGCCAGAGAGGGGTCAAACAGTGATCAGGACTACACAGAGGGCCAGAGGCAGGGAACAGCTTAAAAATGCTTATCATGATGTTTATCATGAAAGCAGAGATTAACAACAAGAGTAACAACAAATTATCTCACAGACAAAGGGTTCACTGCCAGCACACACCTGGTAAAAGCTTAGATAATACTGAATATTTTGCCACATAGACACAGGATGTGCAGTAGGTGTGGGATGACAGAAGGGCACAGTCTGCAGACACTGAGAAGAAAGTCTCAAGTGACAAACTGAACATGTACACAAGGAATGCTGCTTAGAGCATGCTCCACTGATTGTTTTGGTTTTGGCTGAAGGACATTTCATATCCAGTTCCAGACCTGAAGACAACCCTGAGGTAAAGACAATTGCTCACAGAACACTGCTTTATTTCCAGTGATGTTTTTCTAGTTCAAACATTGTGAAGCATGGGAGAGATCTCACTCAGACTGCCATTTTAGAGGCTGAAGAACAAAAATCTTACATCAATTGCTCTTTTTCAGTGAAACACACTCCCAGTGCTTATTCAGAAGAGCATTTCCACCAGAGCCTACCTTCAGCTGTGCAATTTGCTGTTCCAGCAGCAACTCTGACTGACACTTCAACAGCTCAATCTCCTCCTGGAACTGAAGCTGCTGCTTCAATTTTACCTCCTCAAATTGAGCCAGAAGAGTTGTTCTCACAGATTTTACTTCAGAAGCTGATGCAGAAGCATACAGCTGCAGACAAGGAAGGAATACAGAATATTTTAGCCACAGTGTTAGAATTAAGGAAAAAATGAAGAGCCAAACCAAACCCATCAAGCTAAACCAAATTCTGAAGAGTACATTCACAATCCTCAAGGTCATACAGGGCTGCTGTCTATCACCATGCTGAGTACAGAAAAAAAGCAGGTTGATAAAAATAGATAAGCAACCAGGCATTAGGTATCAAGTATCTCCTGTATTCATGAGACCATCAGGCCAGACTAACAGAGTATTCCTGACTTACTCTTTCCAACAGACACTTCTCTAAAAGCAATTAAAAAATAAAGAGGAAAGAAAGGGAGAGAAACACAGGGAAAGCATATTTTGTTAAGATATGATTTCCCTTGTTCAAATGGAAGCAAAAATTACACATCTCTAATGCAGTTATCCTGGGATACAACAGTGAAATGTCTGAGAGATTTCTGGTCATCTAGGGTTCTTTTTCCTACTGTTTTCTCTAAGAAGAGTCACTATACTCATCAGAATACAAATCCTGTTTTTAGGATGATGTGCTTGAAGACTGAATCACCATTAGGACCTCCCAGGAAACTCATGAAACTTCCTCCCCAGACAATCTATTCTTCTAAAAGTGATTTAAGAGTTATTTGGAACATGATCAGATGTTCAATTTAGTAAGTGAAAAAGCAAAAGTAAGTAATATTTTAACTTAATGTGTTCTGTGGTTATAGATGGATCAAGCTCATTTTGTTTGGGACTTTTCCTACTACATGAGTGTAATAAAACACTACATGAGTGTAATATAACACCAGTGGCTGCTTGCATCTGCACAAGACAGATTGTCTCCTGTTATTGTTAGCACTATTACATTCCAAAACCATCTAGATGTACAGCCCTATTTCCAAGCTCCATAAATCTGAATTTACTTTATGATAAAACATGGATCGTTTTGGGTTTAGGTATTAGCAGCAAGCTGACCTCTTGCTCTCGTTCATGCTGTGCTTTTAGTTTCCCCAGTTCTTCTTCCAACTCCCTGGAGAACTGTTCCTTATGTTTCCTAATATCTGCCTCATGAAGATCCTGAAGCTCTTGGAGTGCTTTCCTGTGCTTCTCCTCCATCTGCAACACTTCCTCACGTAACAAATCCAGAGCCAGACGTTTTTCTTCTTCCAGCAACTGCCTTTGATTTCGAAGAGCTGTGTTCAGATCATCCTGTGTAAGCAGTAATTTAAAAAAGAGAAGGGGAAAAAAAGAAGTACAATTATCTTTGCAACCCATTTGTCAAGCAACATGTCCTGCTGCATCAAAGCTTTTAAAATAAACAGGAACAATATTGTGTCATGAAGGATGAGCATACATATATATATATACATACTCTCTAGAACATTTAAATGGGTTTATTTTTCTTATCTAGCAGAAGTTTTGTAAATTCTTACTTATTTGGAAGGATCTTTAGATTCCTAGAGATGTGGCTTAACCTCCAGAATGGCATTTACTCTGGTCTAATCACTTTCTGAAGAATTACACAATATCTCTGCCAGGGAGAGAAGGTCTGAGCAACAAAATGGAGACCCTCCAATCTTAAACACATTAAAAGATATACCTCATTTGTTCCTTTTCCAGAAAAGATACAGAAAACTCATTAGACTGAACATTTGGGGCAGGAAGCAACAGATGGATTTAATTTTCAGCTGGAGTTTCCTGTTTCAGCTCATAATATGGCCACACACAATGTATCAGTGCTGGCACAAAGAGTTTGTGAAAATATCTCCTGAGAACAAAGGAAAAGGTGATCCCACACAATGTATCAGAAATTTCACCTCCTATGCCAGTTTTCCTTTCTGACTCACCTTATGAGCTTCTTCTGCTTCAAGAGCCATGGCTCTAAGCTTTTCCATATTGACAGTAGCTAGCTCAATTTTCAAATTACTCTGGGAAAGCTGAAGTTCTTCAGCATGTTTCAATTTCAGCATCTCAATCTCACGAAGCAGTTGTGCCTGATAGATTTTATCCTGCTCTTGGAGCTGCTCCCTGTGCTGCAGCTGTAGCTTCTCCAGAGCCCTACTGTGTTCATCTCTTATAGTCTGAATTTCAGATAGATAGGAAGACTCCAAGGAATCCAGATTTGATAAGTGTTTAACCTCCAGCTCATCGATTTGGGCCTGATGCTTTGTCTGTAGTTCAGCAACACAACTTTCAAGCTGAATCTGCTGTTTGCTTTCCAGGGTAGATTTAAGTGTCTCAATTTCAGCTTGGTGTTTTGCCTGAAAATCAGCTGTCAGAGACAAAATCTGCTGCTTATGCTTCTCCTCTAACTGCTGACTTTGGAGTTCCAGTTCATGCACGTGTTTGTCTTTCAGCTTTTGGAGAAGAATCTCTTGCTCAGTTGTGAATTTCTGAGTCATTGCTTTGTGCTCCTCCATAAACCTGTATTATTTCCAAGAAAATTTAAGAGAATCTTGTGAAAAAAGTCACCTTTTTTTTAAAATAGTTGAGCTAATAAATAATAATCCAAGGAAAAGAAATAGACTTCACATAGCCTCCCCAAGTTTTACTTGATGCTTCAAACACAGAACTAAATTCAAAGCAAGCCACAATGATGATTTCATAGCCACATAATTAAAGGTTTCTGCAATGTCTCTTGGGAGTATCTGGTTATTACTACAGAAACTGGCACCCCTATTAACTTACAAATACAGAGCAACATGTTTGAGAAATACTGCCATGACAGTTATATTGTGGTGTATACACTGCTACATCTCAAATATGTTGTCTGCAAATAAATGAACTGTCATAACAAACACCTCTAAAAACACCTGGTAAAAACAGACATAAAACCATTGTGGAGGTGTATGTGGGACACTTGGGGGCTCCTCCAAACCCAGCTGAATTCTGCTTAAAGCTTGATGGAGACGATTTAGTATGTGAAGTACTGCCCTTTACTGCAACCAGTAATTACAGTATTTTTGTATGCAGACACCAATAACTAAAAAACCACAGTTATCTAAAAGTTAAGTTACTGCTTTCAGAGCTTTCTTACAGTCATTATTTCTCCAGTCTTGTTCTGTGACCATATTTTTGGGGAGGGAAGAAGGGATAAAGTTGAATCAATGCATACAAATACCAACAAGTGCTTGTTTACTTCCCTTAATTCACTCGAAACAACAGGTGTAGGAAGGGGAAGAAAAGCAGTAGTTCCAGGCATCTAACCAGAACTAAAGAATACCAAAGGGAGGCCCCATCAACCTCAGCTTTCAATGGTTAGCACACACTTCATTCACCAGGGAAAGCTTGTTTACATTCATTCCAATTGTTTAAAAAACCTTAGTGAATTTTTCCACTTACATGTCCCATTACACTTTGAAGGCTGGTATAGGATTTCCAGCTGTGTTGTACTCATGGCAGGCAAAACCTGACTACATTTTATTTGCTAGACTAGATGAAATGCCTTCACACAAAGCAAAACCTACAGCAGATCATGAGACAGCACTGCTTTACATGTGTAAGTCACACAGTGCCATCAAGTGACCATGCTGCACTATCACCCATTAAGTCTAAAATAACACAAAGCAACTCTAACAATGAGTGAACTTCTAAGGGAAACTTACTTGTTTTGTGCTTCCAGGAGTTTCAGTGCACATTCTTCCTGCAGGCAGAGTGTGGCCTTTTCCATTTCTTTTGCCATGAGGGCTTTGGCTGCCTCCAGGTCAGCTTCGTATTGCTGCTGAGCTTTCTGCACAGCCTGGGCACCTGCAAGGCTGTCCTCCAGCTGCTGCAAGTTGTTTTGCTGCTCTTTCACCAGCTTCTCCAGCTCCAGAATTTTGGCAGCTTGGTGATCTTGAAGTTGAATCATCTCAGCTTCACGGAGTTCAAATTGTTTTTGTAAGTTCTGCTTCTCAGATTCTGCTCTGGTTTGCAGTTCTATGTGCAATTGTGATAACTTCTCTTCTGCTAAGATTCTCTGGGCCTCGCTTTCACATTGCCATTTCTTCTCTTTTTCTTTGTACATATTCTCTACTTTCTGGACTTCTTCTCTTAATTCCTTTTTATGATCCTCAGCAATTTTATATTTTACCTGTGAAGACAATTATTTAAAAGAAAAAAGAATAAACCACCAAAACAAAGTTGAAGTGCGTGAACACACTCAGGCATTTAAGGTCTTCAAAATATTAAATTCATTAGCAACCCTTCCTAATGAAACTTAAGTGTGAAATGACCATTTATAAACTGACATGAATTAAATTCAATGCACTATTAAGAATTAATGCGGGTTATGAAAATAAGAAAAAAATTAAGGCAGAATTCTAAAATGAATATGGTATTCTATGTTGATTTCTCTTGAGGTCACTTTTCAGGAGTTCAACTTATACAGCTATGGGTATCTTAGGTGCATATTAGGCATAAATAAAAATCCCTCTTAAACTTCTTTTAAAAGCCACATAAAAAGCATGTAGCACAAAAACAAAAGCCAAAGCAGCAAATGATTGCTCCATGACAAAAAAAGACTTATCTCTGGCTTTCTCCATCAGTTTCTAAGCTTGGAAAAGGATACACATATCCATGGCTCTTTAAAAAGGGTGGAAAGGAGGGCTTGATAGATGAGAGCTTCACCTATCTAATTCTCATAAGCATTCAAATATGCAACAATTTAAGCAATGAATTAGCATTTATTCCAAGTTTATCCTCAGATGGAACAGCTGATTTCACATGTAAGAGCGACAATACCATGTATAATTGTCTCACATCTAAGAACTTTGAGGTACAAGAGTTACACCAAAAGAGAAGTGTATTCCAACATTTGTGCCTATCCAACAACTCCATTTAAAGCTTTAGCTGCTACCCCTAGACCAGGGACTTAAATTCAAGTACTGCCTCTCCCTCGGCCTTCCCACCAGGCTGGAGTTGACCCAACTCTACACCAAACAGTTCTGTAGCGCAAATTACCTTTTCCATTTCTTCTTTCAGATGCTTTTCATTTTGCTCAGAAAAATCCTTTTGTTTTACAAGCTCTTCCTTTAAATGCCTTATTTCCTCTGAGAGCTCTGCAATATGCTGTTTCTCAGAGTTGGAGAGGGCAAGCTTGGCTTTGTGCTCTTCCTCCAGCACAGACCCTCGCTCGGCCACCTCCACCTCAACCTGACATGCTACCTCTTGAACACTCTGGGGACAAAGTTTGGTGATTTCTGGAAAGAAAAAAAAAAATCCAAGCCACACAATAAAATGACATTCTGGAATTTATTTTAACAGCTCCTATTGATGCATAGAAATAAAGCTGAATGTTTTTGGCTGTGCAATTTATCAGTAGCCAAGCTAAATACAGGACAAGGAGAACCCCTCAGCTGGATGATTTTATAGTCTGTTCCATTTTATCACCACCTTGGGAATTTATGAGTATTAACACAAGAATAATCATAAAACCTGTGGTAGGACCTCCCTCCTTATCTGCAACAGCCAGAGGAGCAGACTTTCTTTCTGGGCAATGTAATGGCAAATTTAGGGAAGTTTTATCTCTTCTTCTGCACATCATATTTACACAAAGCAATCTCTAAACATTCTAATTTAAGCAGTTTTGATATCCTCTCTAGTATTAAAAATAAATAATTGAAGATAAGAAATAGAAGTGCAAATTAAAAAAGCTCTACTAATCCTTTTAGCCACCATACAGTGGAGTACAGTTATACCCATGTGTGTTAAATTAGCTAACTAGGTTATCTATTGTTGGCCCAAATGTTTGTATGACTGTGCCCTTCTAGTCATCAAAAATGGAAACCTGATCAACTCCTTGCAGGAACTGCTCCACAGTTCTAGTAGTTTTTACTACAGAATAAACAACTTCAGGTCACCACATCTTCAGAGGTGCAGCTCAATGTGCCCATAAGTGCTCAGTGAAAGGGATTAACATCTGTTAAATGCTCCCCATAGTTTAGGGTAAACTAATCAGCTGAAAACTTCCTCAGATAGGCCTGTTTAAAGAAAAATATAAGCCACACAAGCAGCTTATTGTTTCCCTTCCCAGTCTGTCAGGCCATCCTACCTTTAGACTGTTCTTCTGAAAGTTGGGCATGGAGCTGCTCAAGTTCTAAACCATGCTTTCTTTTCAAGGCCTCAATTTCTGTTGCATATTTGTCTGACAGATCCATCTTCATTTTCATCAGGTCCTCTTTATACTGAAGTGCAAGGGAGGATCTCAAGGAATCCAGTTCATGCTTGTGTTGTTCTGTAAGTTGTAGCTGCAAACAGGCAAGTTCTTCCTGCAGAAAGAAAGGGTCAGGAAGAGAGCTTTAGCTTCTAAGAAACCATGGTGAGAATCTTTCAATGAGACAAAGGAAAATTTCCTTTCCAAACTCTTAGTCAACTTGAAACAAGTTGAGCAAAAATGTTGAGATCTTCAGTTACAGCAAGGTGCATGAAAATAGAAGCCTAAATGTAAGAGGGGCCAACTAGCATCTTGGCTTGAAGAAAACAAGGACAGGAACAATTACGAACAGCTTGATAAAAAGGAGAAACACCACAAATTCTGCACTGGTGAAGAAGAACTGATAAGTTCCTTACCCAGCACAGGATAACCCAAACAGCACATAAAATTACAGAGCATTGTTTCAGCTGTTCTACTCTACAGCCTCTCTAAGGCTGAGAGCTATTTAAAATTGGCAATTCACAACATTCTTGTCAAAAATAATCCCTACTAAACACCCACAATTAATTTTTCTCTTTGCAAGAGCTAGGAATCAGATATCAATTTTCATACAGGTCATGTAAAGAACAGTAGAACTTTTAACATATCAAAAATCCTACCTGTTGTTGTTCAAGTTGTTGGTTTAGCTGATCAAGTGCAACACTTCTCTCTTTTTTAGCAGTCTCTTCAAAAAGTGTGACAGAAGACCTAAGAAAAGGGTTTTAATGTTTAAGCCTGTGATATGTCATGAATCAGGTTAAATATACTTGATGACTAATGGTGTAGTTCTGAAAGTAGGCAAAGAGCAACTACAACAACTGCTCAGGACTGGGCCATGACCCAATGCTCAACCCCAACTGGTTTAGATGCTAACATCATCTTTTATGCTAAAGAAAAATAAAATGGAAGCATGCTGTCACAAAATGAAAAGAAAAAGAACAAATCACCTGATGTCCCCTGCTTGATCTTGACTCATTTCCAACACTGGCAGTGAATAGTCTGTCAGCTCTTGTGGTCTCTGATGCAACAAAGTCAATTCTTTTTTGTAGTTTTCTTCAGCAGCAATTAACTTGTTTTCAAAATCAAGTCTCAGTTGTTCCAATTCAGCTTGGTGCTCCCTGTTCCTCTGCTGACGCTGCTGTTCAAACTCCTGCTTTAAACATTCTATTTCTTTTACCTGTGATGCTCGAGCCAGGAGCTGCTCTTTTAGCTCTGGAACAGAGGCAAAACCAACACAAGCACTAAGAAGACATCTCCTTAGGCTAAGCCGTTCTGTGAAGATCAGATTTAGTTGCCAAGTGTCAATGGTTTAGGAATGGCATTGTCCCATTAACACTTCCACTAAAAACACCACAAGCCACTCCCTTCTCAATGGGAAACACAAAAGGCAGAGATCACAGGCTGAGGTAAGAACCATTTACTGGAAATAGCAATGAGATAGGAAAAATGAACTTCTGATAGTCAAAAATTCCTTCTTCAGAAGACATTCTCAGTTACACTGCATTCAGAGAAACCACTCTCATACCAAGAATCAGAATCACCAGCCCACTGCTAGCTCTCCTCGTTTTCTTGCAGTTCTGGACTAGGCTGGTAACAAGAAGAGTCCTGCACTGTTGCTTAATCTTCACACCTCCTTGCTGCTGTAGCACCCAAAAGCAATAAATTATTCAAGATTTAATCTGCTCCAGGCAAAACTATCCAAACAAAACCTAATTGTGCATAAACTGTGCAGAAAACCAAAAGTCACAGGGAAGAAAATAAAATTATACTTAATGATAGCTTGCCACCCATTGTGTGCTCAGAGGCTGAAGTGGCTGGATTAAAAGAATCAATCAATAAAACAGGAATGCAGTAAAAAGCAGCTACCAAAGCTGGTTCAGCAAGTTCCCCTCCTTCCAGAGAGTGAGAACAACGACCAGCACTGCAACCTTCTCATTAGCCCTCTGGGAGCTTTCTTCCCCACCTTCTGTATTAAAGCAGCAGTAACATTTAGGAAAGTTAAAAGGTAGGAAAAAAAAAATCTCAAGAGAGATAAGCTTTCCCAATAGCTCAACTTTCCAAATAATTCAAGTTAGTTAAATTCCAAAAGAACCAACTGAAGAGGGAATTACATTTCAAGAAGAAGGAACTTGGAGAAGTATCTGAAAAAGAAACAACTTGCCTGGAGAAAAGCAGTTGCTTATGTTACGCAAGAGAAACTTAAGAAAAGTTGATGGAAACAGAGGATGCCATCCAGGAGCAACACAACTCATTGTCACAATGTGGTTTTGTGTAGCAAACCAGAAAATGCACTCGTGGCATGAAAAAATGCTCACAATGCAAATGCAAACAGAACGAGTAAGAGAAGAAATAGGTGTTCAAGGCCAGGTTGGATGGGGCTTGGATAGTGGAAGGTGTCCCTGCCCATGGCTGGGGTTGGAATGAGATGATCTTTAAGGTCCCTTCCAACCCAAACCACTCCATGATTCTGTGAAATAAGTCCATGGTTCAAGCCTGCTTCCAAAGGGAGAAGCTGCCAGGCACAGAGACCAGAGGAATCAAGTGACAAGAAGTAACACCATCAGTGAGGTAGGCAGGGGAAGTCCAATCTACCTACGTGGGTGGGTTTTGCCTACCACCAAAGTCTACTAGCACAAAATTAACCCAAAAATGTTTCATTGTTTTGAACTAGCATGTCATTCTCACACCACAGCAGCAATGCCATCATGCAGCTGTCATGATTTGAACCCTACCATCAACCCAAACGCATGGTCAAATCAGCACTCAAATGAAGAGCAGCAGAGTAAAACTAAACACCTTTAAGATCTCACACACCAAAAGAGATCCTCACCTGGACCATGGGCCTGCATTCTCGTCTCACCACCTTCATGAAAGATGAAGAAACAGAAAGTGTCCAAAGAATGGGATTGTGAGTGGTTAGAAACACAGAAAAACGTGAATTATTAAAGATTAGGGGTACAGAGAAGAATTCCAGCAAATACAATGAAGTGCTATGTACCATAATTCTGTATTACCAAAACAAAAAGATGAAATAGTCAAGGTAAAGTCTGCCTAACAGAAAAAAAAATTACTTAATGTATGACCAAACAAAGTCCAAATACAATTCAAATGCTACCTGGAGTTATATTATTCAGAAAATGTGAAAGAGTATTTGAAGTATGTTTCTAACTACCCCAGCAGAACTCAAGAATCTCATTTTAAGAGTCCCAACACAAGAACACTGGCAGGGTCATGGTCTCTAGGTTTTACTTTTCCCCAGAAGTTCTTTAATGTGTTATACATGTGCACACATATCTAAGACGTGTTATATTTTATTTTAAAAGTGTAAGTCATCTCCAACCACCACACTGCAAAACTGGCTGTTTTATTTAATATACCTGGGTCTTGAAACAGAAATACAAATAGGAGCATGTTATTGCACTGATCAGCATTTTCTCCAGTTTTTAATTACATGATACTTAATTTGACATTTCAACAAAAAACCTTTCGTTTTCACTAAATATTTTTATAGTGTGCAGGAATGGAGTGGGAAGGAAAGCAAAACCACAGGAGTAAGCTTTTCCCCACAGTCACACCATGCTTTTTGACACTGCAGAACCTGTCATCTGACCCTAACTCACCTCAGCCTAGAGACACATCACTGGGCTACAACCCACTGACACTGTGGCCTTCCTGTGTGTTTCTGGTAAAACAGCTAAAAGCATTTCGTGTCAATGATGTGCCCTTCTGTATGAAGGAGAGGCAAAAAATAAAATGTGTCAGTTATGAACATACCACTCAGCTCCTGTCGATTTGCTCGGGTACTGTCAAGCTGAGACCAAAGCTGCCTGATTTCTTCTTGTGACTCAACCTTGAGTTGCTCATGCTTGACCTGAAGCTGGTCCAGCTACAAAAAAAAAAAAAAAAAAAGTTAAAACCAAAAAAAAACACCCCACCACAACTTGCTAAACAATTTTGTTCTCAGGGCTTATTTTACACGCAAGAGACACTTCTGTCAGAAGGAGGTGGAAACAGTGACAACACCACTCTCAGCTCCTGACAGTATCAGAGATACTGAGTAGCAGCATCTCTTGACTCTTACACCCACTTCCCCGAGAGGCAAGAATTTGTTCCTGATGCTGTAAGTGTATTCACTGGCAAAAAAAGTAAGGCATTAGCCAGATTTAAAAAAAAAACTGAGAACCAGAAAATTAGAAATATAAATATGGATGAAGAGAGAGCACTGAATGGCACAAAAGCAACTGCATCCCAAAGGTTTTGAACTCCTATGGAAACTCCCAGAGTATTTACCTGCTTCATGATGCATTTTGCTTTTTAAGTAACATCCCTAAATACAAACAGGTCACCCAAATCATATTTATATGGTCTAGTTACATAAAGAGAAACCAACTACTCTAAACTACTAAAGAAATGTAATTTACCTCCTTCTGAAGATCCTGTTCTTTTTCTTGGCTTTTCATCTTTATGTCTTCCAGGATTTGGTAATGTTCAGCCTGCAGCTGCTCTTGTAATTTTGTGATGGCTATCTGGTGTTGCTTCTCCAATTCTATACATTTCACTAAAATTCAAAATTAGTTCTGTTACTCCTTCATCCCAGTTAATGAATAACCTATACAACTTCTGTGCAACAAAACTAGAAATGTATTGTCTCTAGCTTAAGCACTAGCTTTCAGGAATCACAGAAATGCTTGAACAGTAAAGTATTTGCAAGTCAAACACTTCCATGCACTGCTTAGTTGTTCTCTGCATCCCACACTGTTAGTTAGCCAAGAGACAATAATTTGTTCCATTAACCCTTAACTGTCCACAATCCAAATGCAATTTTTTGTTAGAAAAAGCTTCTATTAATATTAACCACAGTTTTGATTAACTCAGCAACTGTCAAAACAGATTTTCAGATGGGAGCAGAACAGCATTTCCTTTTAATATTCACCTTGCATCTCATACTCTGTGGAAGTTGAAATGCAACAATGCTAGCCAGGTTTTAAACCACTTTTCATTTACAACCTTGTCTAGACAGTCTCACGCCATCAACCCAGTTTTTAAATAAGGCTACATAACTACAGCTTGTATTTGCTTTTATACATATTGTAAAATCACTTAGCTATGTCTCTGTTCAATAAAACAGCATGACACTTACTTTTAGATTGTACATTCTCAACAGAAAGAAGCCCCAGCTCTGCTCTGACTTTTTCCAAATCCATTTCCAGAGATTTCTGCAGTGCAATCATCTCAGTCTGATGCTTTTCACACAGCTCCTCACACACGTTTTGTAAACGTCTATCAGACTCTAATTCCCAGTCTCTTTTGAGGGTCTGAGAGAGTAAAACATGCATTATATTAAAGCAAACACATTTAGTAAATTAATGAATTTTTTTTCTCCATTTATTTGTCCTTTACAATAAATGTGTAGCAGATCTGGTACTTATACCAGCTCTTGTTTTCTGAAAGGACCTTTCTTTTTTTCTTGTATAAAGAACAGAATTTGTACCTCTAATGCCTGGACATGTGCCTCTTCCATTTCCAATTCTATTTTCTTTCTCTGGTCAACTGTGAAATAAAATACTTATTAATAAATTTACATAAAATAGTATTAAATGTAAGTAAAAGTATGGATGAGATTACAATTTTCAACATCAAACTCATGAGTTAAATGTGCAGGCATAGAGCAGAGTAAGATGCTGGGTTCTAGCCACACCTGCTGTTATGTTATATCCCACTAGTTCACTTTAGAAAAAAAACATTCTAGAATTTACAGCTGCAAAGACAACTCAAAGTAAAGTTCAATTTAACTAGCAAAGCCTGCTTAAGTCTAAAGAGAACATGATACTAAAAAGAAGAATAACCCTAAAGACACAAATGAATATTGATGTCATTTTAACATTTCACTGCACACCACTACGAGCACAGAATCTCCAGAAAGACAGGAGTAGCATGCAGCAGTAACAGGTAGGAAACTTCAAATTTCTTCTACAAATGTCTAGGAATGCAAGACAGATGCCACTATCTGCTCAGTTATCACTGACACCAACAGATTCTTCCTTTCCAGTTCCCCCCCTGATTAATTCCAGCTTCTTGTTCAACCCCTTTTTTGATTTGCAATAACCCTGAAAAAGCCTATCAGCCATGCTGCCTAGGCTAATTTATAATATTTAATAGTTTATAATATGCAACCACTATTTCAAGTCTCTCCATGGGAAAGCAAAATGTAGAGATTAAACTGGTATTAAGTTACCTTGGTAAAACACAATTTAACAGCACTGACATTAAGAACTGCATCTCGACCTCCTCCTGGCTCCCAAATCCCACTCTGCTGTCAGTTTACTGCACTACTGGTGGAAAAATGGCTTCCTACTTTTAGGTCAAAAAGAGACACCCTTAAATGAATGCCTTCTTTCTCTTAGGGAAGGACAACTAAAGGAATGATTTCTAAACCTTATTTCAGAGCTCAGAAAGGTGTGATGAACAGTGCAGTCTAGCTGGTGGCCTGCAACTAGCAGTGTTCCCCATGGATCCATCTGAATACAAGGAAAACTTCTTTACTGTGAGGGTGACACAGCCTGTAACAGGCTGCCCAGAGAAGCTGTGGAGCCTTTTAATCTGCAGATATTCAAAACATGCCTGGACACAATCCTGTGCAAATTGCTCTGGGTGAAGCTGCTCTAGCAGGGCTTTGATGATCTCCAGAGAGCCCTTCCACCCCGACCAGCCTGTGATTCTGTCAACTTCTTCAGTGAAATGCTGCAAGATTCACCTTTCTCCAGAAATTCATCAAGCTCTGCCATACAGGTCAAAAATGGTCTGACCTCAAAGAGGGAAACTTCCCAAACAATGCCAAGAGCATCATCAGCAGGCCTTCAGTACTGTGAGGTGCAATTGCCTTCTTGCTTATGCCAAAATACAGTCCTACATGAAGTGCAGCTCAAAGGACACCCAGCTACAGGTTCTCACTGAGCCTTTCAGCTCTTTGCCAACTCCTTCCTAGCACTGAGGGGGTAAGCCAGGAAACATTCATATACCTTCTCAGAAAGATAACAGAGTGCTCACTTAGGGCAAGAAAAACCCACAAAACATAAGGGATAAGAGCTCTACTCTTCGCACTGATCAAGTTCTTTATGAGAACGTGGTCTAAAGCCTCCTGACAGAAAGTAGGTAAGTTTAGCACTAATTTACAGATGAAGAACAACTAAACTTAGGTCTGCACAGCTTCATTTTCATATATAAAACAGGCACTCTTGCACATGGCAGTCCTGCCCATATTAGAGGTAACACCAGCTGTTATTTACAGCCCAGATCTACAAGACAGGAACCTGAGCAGGAAAAGAATATTTATTCCCCAGTTTCAATACCTAGCTCTTGCTGATACTTGGACTTAAGGTCTTCTTTTTCCTTCAGGCACTGTTCTTTGATCCTCTCCCACTCCAGCTGGTGGCGGCTTTGCAGAATGGCCACCTCCTGAGCACGCTTGTCATTGAGCATCTCCCGCAGCTCCACCAGGGCAGTCTCCTTCTCCTTCCTCAAGTTGGACTGTGTAAGCTCCAGCTGAGAGGTGTGCATATTGTTTAAGGTCAGGCGCAAAGCTTCCAGTTCAAGGCTGTGCAGTGTCTGCAGTGGAGTAAAAAAGGGTTTCTCCCTCCCCTCTAATGAAATGTGCTTGCTTTTTCATGACCAGTTTCAGTTTTCACTGTTAAACACATCGAAGTTTTGCCTTTTTGTACTTGGAGACAATTTCTTTGTGCAAGGACCCTTAAAGGAACCCTTAAAATAAGCTGCTATAATGATATTTGAATGTTTTCAGTGCAATGTAAAAGGCTTTCCTTACCTGCCTCTTAATTTCCTACAAGATATACAGTATCTTCCACTTCCTCACATCAAAGCAGAACACAAGCTCTCCCCAGCCCTTCACTGTCTATTGAAACAATTCCTTGTGTTTGCTGTTGTTTATAATTTGTTAACAAAGTAAAGTTCTAAGTGATACTGGAAAAGCAGAAATAAAATTCACTTCTCAATTCTTAAGTGAATTAACCACTGTCCCAACAGGTTGTAATTAGACCTAACACTAGATATTCTTTCCATTTCCACTTCACATTTAGCAGAAATGTTCAAAAACCCAGGAATTATAAAGAAGTAACAGCCAGGTTTTCACACTTCAGCTTAACAAGAAAGCATTCCTAATTATTAATAGTGAATTATTAAAAGGTGGGAGGGGTTTATATACTTTATAAAATTTACTGGTTAAACTTGTGAAGACAAAAAATTACAAAGCTGTTTTTTCCCCCTTAAAATCATCAATTTAAAGTTTTCTTCAGAATGAATGTCAAAATATAATTAATGTTAAAATACATATTAAAAATATATAAAATATAATATAAAGTGAGGATTCTGGAGAACTCCTCTAAAATAGATCTACTACTATCCACCAAGAGAACATTCCTTTTCCTTTGGTTGCAGCACCATGTGAAAGAGCAGGTGTAATACCCACAAAAATTAAGGAGAAGGCTCCTTGATTTCTGTCTATGCTGGAGATCATCAAGTCAGCTAAGAACTATGTTAATCACTGTGATTTCCTGTTTTTACCTGGGATTGGAGCTGGGCTTGCTCCTGCTCTGCTCGGTGTGTGGCTGCCATTTGCTGCTGGAGTTCATCTAAAAGGTGCCTCTGTTCCTCCTTTAGCTCAGCACGGAGCTTCTCCATTTCCTCTGAGTGCTTAGCAGCCAGCTCAGAGATTTCCCGCTCGTGCTCCCGTTCATGGACCTGCAGAGAAAACTCTGATGAAAAGCTTTCTTCAAAATATGCTTGTTTAGCCCTAATTATGGAACAAGAATCCTCCACTCCTCCTGACCCCAAACCAAAAACATCATGGAAAAAACCAATAGAATTTAGTATCTCTGAAATGTTTACACTGCTCACATGACAATGCAAAATCACCTTATTTGTCCAGAATGAACCAAATTACAGAATGTACCTTTTTTATTACAGCAATCTCTTCCTTTCTTTTTTCTTCCAACTTCTGTTGTTCTTCCACTTTGTCTTTTATTTCAGCATTTAACTCTTTTATCTGAAAACAGGCATACAAACATTTGCAATGGTTACCTTATGAATTCCAAAATCCCACGACTCCTGCAGTTATCAGGGTTTCCTACCTCTTTCTCGTGTGCCAAACTCACTTCAGTTAATTCAGCAAGGTGCTGAGTCTCCATCTTCTCCATTTCTTCTTTGTAATGCTTCTCCATCTTGGACTGAGCCTCCTGGGCAGCCTGACAGGACTCCTGCAAGTGAGCCTCAAGCTCCAAATGAGCCTTTTTCAATTGGGCAATTTCTTCAGTCAACTGGTTTTTTTCCTCACTGTATTTGGTAGTCTTTTCCTTTATTTCAGCAATTAGTTTATTAATTTCTTGGTTGCTGAGGTTTAACCTGTCCTCGTAGTCCAGTCTTTCACACTCCTGTATTTCTTTGATGTTTTGAATTTCAGCATTAAGCTCATGGATGTTTTTCTCAAGGTCCTCAATGATGCTAGCATTCTCTGCTAGTGCTTTTTCTGCTTTCAACAGATCCTCCTCCACATTTGATAGTCTCTCTCTTAAGGCTGTTTTTTCCTTCAACAAAAGTACTAAATTTTGCTCTTTCTTACTGATTTCAGCTTTGAGCAACTCCAGTTCTTTTAGCAATGTCTCTTCAGATATGGTTTTCTGACTCAACAGCTCTGCTGTTCTCTGGTTTTTAGCCTTCTGAGCATTAAGCTGGCTTTGCATCCCATCCCTTTGACTTTGCAAAGCTGTCAGCTGATGGCCAAAAAGAGCCTGCCCTTCGCTTGTCACGGAATCAGAGGCTGGTTTCTGCTCCTGAGCATCTCTCACTAACTGCTGCATCATCAACTTGTCTCTTTCCTCCTGGAGGTCTTTCACCATTTCTAGCCAGGTAGAGAGGTTTGGTACTTGTGTTAGAGATGGCTGCCCTCCATCCTCACCCTGCTGCTTTAGTAGAAGCATGTGTTTATTTTCAAGTTCTTTTTCCTTCTCCATTTTCTGAACAAGTTCTTTTTCACAATAGATCTGTGCTTCATCTTCTTCCTCCAGTTTTGCATGCCTATGAGAGAGCTCAGACATGGCTTTCTCCCAATTTCCAACAGCTCCTTGGGAGTCCTGATAAGGCATTTCCAAGACTGACTCCTGATGGAGCAGCTCAGCTGGCTTCAGATGTCTCTCTGCCAAACCCATCATCTCATCATCCTCTATGTCACCGTGGTCCCCAGTTTTGTTTTGCTGCAGGGAGCCATCTGACACATATGAAATAAAGGCCTCTGCTCTCACCTTTGCCTCTTCAGAAAGGTCTTGAGCCAAGCCACTAAGACATGTCCCCTCCTCGAGGCTAGAGTTTAATGGAGAAGATATAAAATCTCTGCTGGGTTGTTCTAGGAGCACACTGCTGTCTAACCCCTGCATATTGCATCTGCCCTCTTCAATGGCATGGCTCTCCAAAGAGCAGGAGCCATAGGACTCTTCTGGAGTTTCTGTGGCAATGAGGTATTTAGCCAATATACCTTCATCACCACTGAAAAGCCCAAGCTCTGACAAGGGTTCTTCAGACAGGTTCTCCTCTTCCCCACTTCCATTATCCTTCATGATCTCTAAATTCCTTGTTTCTTCTAGCTGATCCCTTGAGGAGTCATACTGGAACTCCACTTCTAGCTGATGCACTGGCTCACTGCTGTCCTCTGACTGGCATGCTCTGTCCCACATCTCCTCAAGATCCACTCCCTGCAGCTGACACTGCCCTGATAAAATCTGGTTCTCCCTGAATTCCAGTAACTTTTTATTGGAGACCATCTCTCCATCATGCTTTTGCATTACATCTATATGGTTTTTAGCCTCATAAAGTTGCTTTTCGTTTAATTCCTGGATGTAGGAATTCAGCTTCTGAATCTCTTCATTCAAGGCCTGTTTTTCTTTTTTGTATTGCTGGGCTTCCTTCACTTGCTCTTCTGCATAAGAAAGTTGATACTTAAGGCCATCAATTACATCCTTGTATTTAGTCTCTATATCAGATTTTTCCCTCTGAAAGTCTTCCCGTTGGTTTTCAAGTTTCTTCCTCAAATTTTCTTTACTAATTTCAGATTCTCGAAGCTTTACATTTAAGTCAATTATTATGCCATTCAAATTCTGAATGTTTTCTTCGGAATTCAAAGCACAGAGTTCCTTCTTTAACTGTTCAAGTTCATTTTTATATTTTAAAATAATTTCCTTTTCATAGATCTGCTTGGCTTCTGCAATCTCTCTTCTGTGGCACTTCTCCAGCTCATTCCTCAAGTTATCCAACTGTCTGCAAATATCCTTCTCATGACTGACTTTCAGTTCTTCAATATGTTGCTGTTCTTTCACTTTGGATAAAGCAATTTCTTTTTTTAATTCTGTTATTTCTGAGTCCCGGAGGGAAAGTGTGTGCTGTAGTACAGACAAGCCAGATCTTTCTGATGTCAGGAGATCTTGAAGACTTTTAATAAACTGTTCTTTTTCATCTATGCTTTTGTGTAGCTTTTGCATTGTATCTTTCATATCCTCTTCCATTTGGGCAAGCAGATTTTCTTTATCTTTGGTATTCTTAAAAAGAAAACATTACATATAAAATATACCATGGTTTCTTTTCCTTAAGCCTCAAGTTTTTAATTTGCATTCAGAAATAACATTTAAGTTTAAGGTATCTATTTATGGCAGTACTAGTTACACTCTTAAAGGAAACCAGACATTAAGCAGTTTCATTAATGTATGTTAGTCATCACAACTCCAATGAATTTATTTCTATATAAAAAGAATTTTTCAAGAATATGTCACTACAGCAAATTCAAGTTACCACCAAATTTGAAATAATTTTTTAAAAAAGCTGTTTTTACCTTTTGAGAAGACTCCAGCTGAACTTCCAGGTCGTGTGCTTTCCCACGCAGAATCTCCAAGTGTGCATTTTGCTCTCTGAGACGATCCTGAAACAAGGACATTTGCTGCTGAGCTTCTAATCCTTCATCTTTCCTGAGACTTTTACTCCTCAGTAGCTCAGTAACCTGGACACATAAAAGGCACTCACAGTCAGGAGAAAGTTTGTATCCAAACAACTCGTACACAAGATTCACTGTAAGCAAGTGTATTCACAAATTTACCCAAAATCTTTCATTCTCAAGGAATAAAAATCATCCTAAAAAGGCAGACAACACTTGTCATGTTTTAGATACTATTACTTACTGAAAAGATGCAAATGTTAGATAATTCATCCCTGTGGTGACTTTTCTAACATGAACCTATAAATCTAACAAAATAAATCACACTGAATTCCTCCAATATGAAGAAAACTCCCAATGGACTGGACATACCATTAAGAGGACAGCGAACAAAACCAGTCTTCTCTGCAAAGGATTTACAGCTCATTACTAAAGGTTGGTTTTTTCCTCTCCACATCCCTTCAAACAAAAGGAAAACTTTTCTCCTATTGGGGTAACATAAAATATGTTTTAATATATTTTTCTCGTATGTTGCTAAAACCAAGGAAGAATATGTAAGACAGTATTAGTGCTTTCATCTGGTATCAAAGCTGACATCCTTCCACAATGTGCATCAACTCACTAGACTTATTTAGAACATGCCTGAAATGCTATTGAGGCTTGATCCTTGTCTGCCAATGGCTTATGGTGCAAATCCCAAACACCTGTTGAGTAGCCTTCACTTTTACCACATTTTGCTGTTGCAACCAAAACTGTAGATAGAAAGCAGTATTTTTTGTTATTTTACAAAATTTCATTTAGCAGTCATTTTTTTAGGGTATAAGCAATTCCCTTTAAGATAATTCCTGGACTAAAAAGTCTCAGATTTCATTTTTAAAAAATTTTAACCCTTTTCCCTTCCTATCCAGACTTTAAGATTTGTAATCCCATATCCTGCAAAGCTGGAACAGTTACTATACAGAAACATTTCTCTCTGGCATGTACTACAAAGCGCCAAGGACAACAAACACATAGGTTCAGAGAGAACAGCCACTGGAACACTGAGTATCACCATGAAAGAATAAAGCACATTTAAAAATACATTTTAAAGCAGAGAAAGGCTGCAGTATATGTCATTATCCAGGGATTAGATCCATGATTAACCTGTTGTGAAGCAGGTTCCTGTGTGTCAAGGAGGCTGCCTGAACTGTGTAATTTTAAATTTCTTTCTTTGAGCCAAGTCACATGACCTCAGCACAGCAAGTTTCTGTCCAACAGCTGAGATGTTCCAGTTGCCCAAGCAGAAACTCACAGATTTCTCTGGCAAAGGACACATGATCACATGCAAGCCCAAACGATATAGCAACAGTTGTGCACAGGCCACAGACCACTTGTGGCAGGACATTCCCCCACCACAGAAGGGCTTATCTGTTCTGCCTATCAGCTGGTGCAATAGCTCAGGGCAACTCCCCCCTCTCAAGAATTTGCTAATTGGTGAAATAGCTCAGGCCAGACATCTGCCTGGTAGGGAGATATTTCTGGCACCATGGAGGTGGCATTCCCAGCTGACAAACATCTTGCCTTGGGAGAGAGATTGAAGGAAGAAAAGCTTGACAGAATTCCTGACAGACACTTAACTTCACAAACTGTAAAAGCAACACCAAATTTTCACAAGGCAGAAGTCTTCTGCACGCTCTGTAGAAATGTGTGGGGCCCTTCCCCAAAGCTGGGATGTCACTTTGTGGTCACTCTCTCAGGGGTTGAGTGAAAGCAATCTGTGTACCCCCTCATCAGTTCTGTGCAAGTTACATTGACTCCTAACCTATACTATTTCTTTGCTGGTTATAATATAGGTACCTTTATGTTGTGCACTGTTTTATGTAATCTTCTAGTAGTTGTTTTAACCTGTTTAAGGCCATTTGTCTGTTAATCTTCTGCCTATTCAGTAAATAACTCAATTTATGATAGACCTGATCTGAAATTCTTAAGAGCTCATGAGCCAGAGAGGTTTAGGTGTGCCTCACCTGAATTCAAGCTGCTGCCAAAAATCTGAACCTAAGGCAGGGCTTGTCTAATGCTTTCACTCAGCCCATAACACCACCAAACACATTGTGTAAAATTCCCTAACAAGGGCTTAAGTGATGAACATAGTGGTGCAATGACCTTCAAAACATTATGCAAGCAAGTGGAAAATCTGAGGATATTTCCAGGACTTCTCCACAGCAACCAGGAAAAAAACCCTGCCCTGCCCTGAAATCATTTTCACTGCTGTGCTGCAAACTGAACTATGAGGAGCTACATGATCAGCTCAATGTTTTTACATTCACAGCCTGAAGTTGTTCCTGCAGTCTCTGTAAGGACATGCAAACTGGAGGAGAGGCACACCTGATGTAACTGGAGCTGTAAGTCGTGGATCTGACCAGCCACACGTGAAGCCTCCTCCTGCAGCTCATCCCGGTCTTTCTTGGCCTGTTGAAGGCAGGTTGTTAACTTCATGATGATTTCATTCTGCTCCTGAACTGTTGTTTCCTACAAGGGTCAGAAGTGCACTTTTAACATTAAGATATTCTTAACATATTTGGAACCAGGCAGGTTTTCTTGAAGCAAAGCCAGAGTCCTTAGTTACATTTCAGTTTTAACCAACTTGCACCAAAGAAATCTGTGTCCAAAAATGATGGCAGGCATGAAGGAAGAGGAGTCTTAAACTGATCTCAGAGGTGACAAACCAAATCAAAAGTGATTTTAAAAACAAATTATGGGACACCAGGAATGAAATTATATTTTTACTTCTAAATTTGTAGCTGTCATTGATGTAAAAAGCAATCAAATTTTCAAAAAGGATATAATGAATATTTAGTACCCCCTAAATTTTTTCATATCTGCCTGAAATTCCCTTCAATCACATGAGACGAAGCTAATGAGATGTTAACACATTTATCTTGTCAATTTATTTCTCACCAACAGGAAATATCTTTATTTCCCCAATCCTAGAATGAGAAAAACAACATGTAAAGGGGAAAATAACTAGTCTTAGAAAGCACCTGGTAATAATTTACCTTTACATAGAACTGCTAGAGAAAGGGAATGCAAAATATTTTTTTAATATTCTCGAAGAGGACACTGCTTTTTGCAGTACATGTTAGCAAGGTGGAGTGGAGTACTTCTCACTAAAAAACACAACAGGTTTTTGAGTCTTGAGACCTAAGTATTTTTAGGATTAAAATAAGGTGTTATTATGCCATCACCCAGTTCTGTGAAACATACCTGAAGCTGCATGGAATCGTTGTGCTGGGTGAGTTGGTCCTGCAGCTCATCCATCTGTGCAGTGAGCCTTTCCACTGCTTCCTGTTTTTCCAGCAGCCTGCTCTCCAGCTCAGCTATCCTCTCCTGACACACCTGAGCATCAGCCTCGCTGTATTCTGCAGCAGAATTTATCCTATCCTTCTTCATGAAGGAAACAGAAATGCATTTATTCACTAAAAATACCATTTTGTGATTCGTCTGAAAACAAACTCAGCTTCAAGGTTAAGTCCCAAGATCAAGTAACCCAATGCTGGGACTTTGTACCTAATAGAAACATTACATACATAAAATCCTTAAGGTTTAAAAACTTCAAATTAAAAATGATCATGGATAATATATTTTCATTATAGTTTAAAGCACAAAAGTAAAGTAAAAGTGTTGTGATTCTGTAGCACCAAATGGTGGCAACATGCCATTTTGGCATGTATTGGGGTTTAAATACCTCCAGTTGTGAGGAAGGAAGCAGAGTATTACCACTTTAAACAAAGCCTTTACATCCATCTGACTGGAGAACAGTCCACCCAAATGAAGAAACAACAATGTAAAACTCTTCAATTAAAATTCTGCGGTTTCTTAGGAGCAACATTGTTACCATCATCATAGAGGATACAGTCTCTTGGATTTTATTTTGAATACTTTTTGATTGTATTGTATAAAACAATGAAAAATTAATTTGAAGCATTAAAACTTCCAAATTTCTCTGGGCAAAGTCTATGAGTTTACAAAACCCAATTTTCTCAGCAACCAATTTTCACAGCCAGTAGATGTACATACAGAGAAACGCCTGTTTTATACCATAAAATAGTGAAATCTCAGAAGCCGTGTATCAATTGGAAACATTATAAACATTCACATTTCCCTGAGCAAAGTCAATGATTTTATAAAACCCAATTTTCTCAGCAACCAATTTTCACAGCCAGTAGATGTACATACAGAGAAACGCCTGTTTTATACCATAAAATAGTGAAATCTCATCAGTTTCATCACATTTGATAACAATGTTCAATTAATCATTTTTGCAACCAATTATCAGTCTTTTTTCAGCTCTACCCAGCATCTTTTACTATAGATACACCTTCTCACACTTACTTCAGTTGCATGATCATCCAGTGGCTCCCAGCTAGACAAATCAGTGCTGCCCTGGTAAATAAACAAACAAAACAAACACTAAATCATAGCTATTTTAAATAAAAACAAGGAAAAACAGAATGATTTTGGAAGCATCTTAAACATGAGCCAGAAAGGTCTGTGTTGTGAGAAACTGACTTTATGCTAAATCCAGCTGGTCTTTCATGGTGAAATGAACTAAACTGCAAAAACAAACAAACAAAAGAATTATAATGGCCACTTAAACTTAGGGCTAATCCTCAACACTGATTCAATGCTTGATCCTCTGCTGTTGTAGCTGGCAAACACTTGAGCAATCTTTATTCTACCACTAAAAATCAGTAAACTGACAGGAGATTATTTAACAAACATGCTAAAACCATTCAGGCAACCAAAAAAGTAAGACCTTTTTCTGACACACACATTTATCATAGCTTGATATCTTGAAAGAGATTTCCCTCTCTAAATTCACAAGACCAAGATGACTATTGCACTATTTGGAAAAGGCAATCCATAGCTCTCCCTGCATTTTGAGTCTGCTTGAAGTAGTTCCCCATGATTACTGTCTCCCTAGAGGCACCCTCTCCAGGTAACCTAGAATTCCAGCTGCTTTACAAACCAGCTATTTTGAAAAAAGTTGCTTAGCAGCAGTAAGTGATTTTTGTTTGTTTTTTAAATTTAAGCTCACATGAATGTAGCAAGGACACTGCTGTAGCTGAGTGACAAAACTTTGTTTTTCCTCAGTGTGTAGCTTCATAAAAGCCTTTGCAACACTAACATTTTGTTGAAGATATTCTGAAAGCATCAGGGATACCCTCACAACAGAAAGCAGGATAACACATGTAAATTTTATCCCCCATCACTGCAGGTTTGCAAACACATTAGTGTGATGCTATTGTGGTATGTTGTGAAAACACATCAACATCTGGAGAGATGCTTTGGGTGCAGAAGGCACCAGCTCCCCAAAATTCTTTCCACAGAGAATGTGACTACCTTTAGAGAGGCATTAGAGCATAAATACCAAAATACATCAGACACAAGCAGAGTCAGACCTCAAACAAATCTGTGGAAATAACATCTACGCTGGCTTTACAATGGCTATTGAGAGCTTGCTGGAATAAATTATAGTTTTTCAGAAAACATTTAAACATATTTGAGCCAGCCAAGTGATACAAAACCAAATTAATGCTGTGAATTATAAGGTCCAGTTTTTAATCTGTTGATCTCCCACTGCAGATTTGCCATTTCATGAACTCACAGCCACATAACCGTAGAGAAGTCCAAAGAGAAGTCCATGGCAGTGAAAGACTTGAATTTAGGAGGCTAACAGCTACCTGGCAATAACAGGTGCCCAGGCCATACTGTGGAGATGTCTTAGTAAATGAGATGACTTTGTTAGAGAATGAATTATTCCATGTGACAATAAAGCAGTTCACTCACCTCCCAGGGGCACCTAACATTCAATTCAGCCAAACACCCACCTGCAACACTCGTTACCTGCAGATGGAGTGGAGCCAAGGGAAGAAAGACTAACATTTACCTGTGCTTCTGCTGCTGCCTCTGGCAGGATGGTGTCTTCAGCCTGAGCCTCCAGGCCCTTCCCAGCCCCTGTGGCTGCTACTGGGTGCTCTTCCTTCGGGAGGTCATGCGTGTGGACAGCCGAGCCCTTCCTCTTCGCCGCCTTTTTCTGCGGCTGCGCGACGTCGCCCTTTGCTTTTCGCTGTCTGAAGTAAGCAAACTGTTCAGGAAAGATTGCAAGAGGTACAGGGAGAGGTAAGCAAGGAAAAAGTAGCAGGACCACAAGATTAACACAGTCATGGGTGACAGAGCTCCTGTCTTGATAAAACATATACATCTGCAGAAAAACTGCTTGATCTGTCTGCTTGCCACACATTCACAACATACTGGACAACTGTGCCATCAAGCAGCAAAGCTCACACCAGCACTAAAGGCTCATTTCCACACAAGAACCAAAGTTTTACTCAGTGAAACTTTGCGTGCCAACAATAATCCAGAATTGCAGCAAGGCAAATTAGTAAAGGAACGAGTTGCCAATATACTAGAAGCATTAGGAAAAAATAACAATTGAGCAGTCTTCCTGCAAGAGCAGCAAAAACAAGAACCCCCTTGTCATGGTGGCAGCACCAGCACGCCCCTACAAATACATCTAAACAGGTCTTAGCCAGCGTAAGCTTTGAGATGAGGATTCACTTCCGTCAATTTTAATGCTCCTTCCCTGCCACCCCCTTAAGAGAACACAGCAAAACTTCTTCGCCAGAAAGCAGCCTCCAGTACATAAATAGAAAATCAATTAAGCCAGGTCATTTTAATTTCTTCTGTTGAAGAATCAGATGCTCTACTTTATCAGGCTATCACAGCTCTACAAAGCCCCAGAGACTTGTAAAGAATGTCACTGACAATTTATTACCCAACTCTCCCTAACACCCTAAACAGCTTAAAAAGGATTATTGTTATTTTCAACTCTAGTATTGTGTTTAGGCAGCATTTCCAAGTAACCTCTCCCACACAGCAGAAATCCAGACATCCTTCTGATAAGGAAAAAGACTTCAAGGTTAAAACCACAGGTTATCAAGTGCAGTGTTATATCCTTGTGATGAGACAAAACAGATAGTTAACTGATGACTGGATGTAAACACCACTGCCAAGTTCTACCTGCAATACATGTGAAAATCCACTGCTTGGCAGCTTGGTTTTCCTGCCAAACAGCCACCTTGCAGAAAAATCTTGTCCCATTCTTCTCATTCAGTTTGTGAAAAGCTCAGGAACTTCTGCCTGACAGCTTAGCTACTCAACAGGTGCACAGTTCCACATCTGCCACACCCAGCAGCCTGTTTAAAAGGTACATTTGCTTTTAGAAAAACATCAATTTCTTACCAGCTGATCAAATTCTTATGCACAAAAAACTTAATTTTTAAGATTACCTTCTGTAATTTCTACAGTTACTAATACTGAAATGCAGATGAAATGAAGGTTGCCAGACCTGTGCCTTTCACAACAAGCAGAATGAGCAGACCACAAAGCTGCAGTGAGACACAAGTGCTATCCTCTGAAACCAGGTGTCAGCTCCAGCACTCACTGATGGCAATGTGTGTCAAAAATAGCCACAGCACTAATTAACCTGATAACGTGGGGAAACGGGGCAGGAGGAAACCTGCAGAAAAATGGAGAGTAGAGGAAACTGCTGAAGCAGGGAAAAAGGGAAAACAGGAGTAAAACAAGCAGAAAAGATGAAAGACAGAGAGAGTGGGCATTGCAGAGAACAGTTACTGATTCACCAAGGGAGACCAAGAATCCCACATTAAAATACCAAGACCTGGCATGACTGAACACCTAAACACTATACATTTTTAAATGCACAGGTCAAAGAAAACAAAACTTATTTTGTCCCATTCACATGCACTGAACATATAAAATCATAATACAGGCCATGCAAAAATATCTAACCACACCAAAATTTTATGGAACTACTGGAGTTGGTGGAGTAGCTGGATTCAAACATGCTCCGGATTTATGGGAAAAGTTCTATTTAGAGCAATATCAGGTTTCCAAAACCTTTCATCAGTTACATAAAGTATAAAGTTGTATTAAGAGAATCTCAAATTCACAGCCAGCCATCCAACACGAAGCAGTGAGTGTGAATGTGAAGAAAGCAAGACACAAGTGCCTCTGCCTCATCACAGTGAGATGCCACCACGCCTGTTTTGAATGATTTAGCGCTCCTTTTTCTTTCTAGAAGCAATGCAAAGGTGAAAGCCTGACTTTTAGCCAAGATGTAGCATTGCCACAGGAACCCTGAGAGCACTGTCCTCCACAGCATCCCACGCAGCTGCTGTAACACAAGAACACCTCTCTACAGGTACCAAAGCACTGCAACTTCATTGCACCAGGACCAGTGGGTTCAAAGTTCATGTATTACTTTATGTGCTTCAGAAATTAGTACCAAAACCAACACCCAGAGAAAACCAAACAGAGCAGAAAAGCCACATCAGCACCAAACAGAAACAGGTTGTCCAAATAAACATTAGTCCAGCTCTTGGATACAGCAAACATAAGCAACAAGCAATCTTAGACAAAACCAAGAAATATTTTCTAGACCTTCCTCAAAATGATGAGGTGAGAAAACTTCCTGGAAAACCTCAACTCATTTTTCAGGTCCTAACTGTAAAGGAGAGGCAGAGCAAAACTTCCCACACCTGAGGCAGGGCACAGAGAGCTCTGTAACTGGAGGCACAGCTGGTCAACATGCAGACTAATTAATGTGAGTAGAAACAAACAAGGAGAAAAAAAGCAGCACTGAATAATTAGGCTTGTTCTGTTTCTCAACTACTACCCTGGCTATCAGCATTGCTTTTGTTAGAAACAGGAATCTGAGGTACCTGATACAGTCAGTACTTAGCTGCCAATTACAGTCCCCAATAAATACAACAGTTGGCATTATTATTAGGTGATTATTATTATGGTGATAAATGCACCTCAGGAATGGAATTTTAAATTCCTATATGAAAAAGTATAACACAAGTACTGCTCTGAAAAGGACAACATTTAGATCATATTTCTTTGCCAAGTCATTGCTTAGCAGACTAAGATCTGAGGATGCCAAAGATGAAATAATTCATTTCCTGGAGGGAAATTAATTCCTTGGAGGGTGGGGGTGAGGCAAACCGCCCCCAAGAGCTCACACCTCCAGAGTGAAGCAGCATCACACTGCAGTGACATCAGTGCACGGGCTGCTACAGCAGAGGCTCTCACACACAAGCCAGCCTCCCTCCTGTCCCCTGCTGCCAGCAGCTCCTCTGGAGATGGTCCAGAAAACTCCTCTGATGGACACTGAACACTCTCCTGTGTCACACCAGAGGTGGGAGCACCTTAAGCTGCTCCCAGCTGCACCACAGCAAGGAGAAGCTGCACTTGCTCATGGGTCTTCCTCCCTTTCAAAACTGCTGTATCCATGAGGAGGGGAGCACAGAGAAAAGTAGAAAAAAAAAAAAGAAAAGCAGAAGAATAAAAAGGAGGAAATGTCACCTGGGTGTTTTTTGGAAGCTGTCTGGTGCCCACAATCTGCCAGTCAGGGAATAGATCTCTGTGACATTTTCATCAGCAGAGGAAGCACTACATCCATCTCTGCCTCTCTAAAACTCTCCTCTCAGCATTCTGTGCAGCAGCCACATTGATGAGGCTGCTAATGATGTTTAGTTTTTTTAATAGGAAGAGGAAGATATAGCACACAGTATAAATAAGAGTAAATGCAACCCTGGTTCTGCAGGTATAACTTGAAACATAAGGCAAGTCCCTGCTTTTTATCTTTTAATGGCAAACAAGTTTTCCAACAGGTAGGAACTAAGAACTTACTCAGGCTAAGTCTGTCACATTTTTCTAATCATGAACAGGTCCTGCACCTGGAGTTAATGTATGTTAAGAGAAATGTTAACACAGGTTGTGCCTCACTAAGGTAACCCTTCAACCTGAAGAACTGCTGCTCTCAGAGCTCTCTCTTGAGCAGCTCTTCTCCAGCAGAGGATTGTGTTCTCACAGCACATCACAAGGCTGGCAAGGCAGGCAGATGGCAAACTGCTGAGCAGGAATCCATGGCAGCATCAGGGAGACTGATGGAGGCCAGGCATGGAGGAGCTGCACTGCCCATCAGCAGGCTGCAGCACAGCTCCAGCTACAACCCTGCTCCCGTCCACAAAAGCTCTCTTGGATTTTCCTGTGCACAGCACTGGTGGGAAGCAGCTGAAACAGAAACACAGCAGACACACAGGACAGCTCCAAGGCACCTCTGACCCCACTAGCCAGGCTGGTTCCCTGCAGGAAGGGCAGGATCTGGAAAGATCTGATGGTCCAAACTTCCCCAGAGCCTGTCCAGCTATAGCCCCCTCCAGTCCTACTGGAATGGTGAGAACTAAAGGCTTAATTTAGCAGGGACAGCCAGAAGAGAAATATGACAAAACCAGCCCAAAACCCAGCAGAAATGCTGAATTAGCAGGAAAGTAACCAAGCATTTCCAACGAGCTCTTTGAACATCGTTACCAAAACAAAGCAGAAGCATTTAGCTAACGGGGTTAGCACACAACCGGCGTTAAACACATGGCTGCAGGTAATAATTACTCAGAGGATGTTATCTTTATGAATTAGCCTCATCCCGCGAGCTCCACACAAGTCTCTAAACTACACCAAGTGAAGACACAGGAGGGTTCAGAGCTTATGAAGTGTTTGCTTGGAAACCACCAAACCCAGCCCAGCTCTGCTCTCCCTGCGCACACCCAGGCGAGCCACAAACCACCACCTGTTCTTCGGGATCCTCCATCCCTGGGGCAGCATTCCCACACACACTGAGTGCTGGGCTCAAACGGGACAGCTGGGAGGATATAACCCAGAAGCCGAGGAGGGCAGAGCCTGCCGGGCGGCACACGCACAGCTCCGTGCTCACCCCGGGCAATGTTTCCATGCCTGTGCAGCGGGCACAACCACCGCTGGGCACTTTTCCTGCGGAACCTCACCGGGCTCCGGGGACACCCCGCACCCAGCTCCGCCACAGAGGGGAGCGACCCGGGCCGGGCTGAGGCGAAGCAGGCAGGGCCTGGCAGCGCTCCGGCACCGCGGCGGGCGCAGCCCGCGCCTAACCGGGACCGCTTCCCCTCACCTTGGCCCTGCCCGCCTCCAGCTTGCGCCTCCGCGCCTCCTCCGGCGCCTCCATGCGGCGGCCGGGCGGCTCCGTGCCCCCCGCGCCCTCACGGCGCCGGCGGCGGCAGCGNAGCCGCGCCGCGCGGGGCGGAGCTCCGCGCCCATTGGCCGCGGCTCCTGACGCGCCGCGGCCGCCGGCCAATGGCGACGGCTTTCCTCAGCCGGGCTCCGCCCACTCGCGCTAAGTGGCTGCTGGGATAGCCCGGGCGGGCCGGCGCGAAAGGCCGGCCACGCCCCCTCCGCGGCAGCCACCAATGGGAGCGTCCCGCGCCTTTTCAAAAGGGCCGCCGTCCCCGCCCACCGCGGGAGGCAGCCAATGGGAAACGAGTACTGGGAGGAGGACAATGGAGGCGGGGCTAGCGGCAGCCAATAGGGTGCGAGGAGGGTTGGTGGCTGCTTTCCCGCCTTTTTGTTTATTTGTAAATTTTTAGCCAAGAAATAAATTAATGCTCACTGGTCCTAAGTTGCTTTAGTTATCAGTATTCTGTCCTGTATTGTTTATTGACTTATCGCTCTTCATGCTAATTTGGTCGCCATTTTTTAATCCCTCAAACGTCATTTTGTTACACATGGAGTTGTCTCCAACTTTCCAGGCTTCTGTCTCCTCTGGAGTCTTCTGGTTACTCCAACGTCCTTGAAGAGCCATAAATTTAAGATCCCAGATGTCCCACCTTCAATTCCCTTTTGCTCTGCTGATTGAAGCTACAAAACTGGTGGCTTCTTTGTATTTAGAAGTCACTGAATTATAAAAATACAGGCTTTAGTCAAATGTGTTACTCAGAGCAGCGTGCTGGATTGGCAAACATTAAAAAGCCCATCTGCCTCGAGGGCAATACCAAAAGACAAAGTCTGAACGATGAAATGTCTTAGTGAACACCTCCAAGGATCAGGCAGCCACTACTTCCCTGGACAACCTGTTCCAGGGCTCCACAGAGAATGATTTTTCCCTAATATCCCATCTAAACCTACTCTGTGTCAGTGGGAAGTCATTTCCCCTTGTCCTGCCACTCCAGGCCCCTGTAAATTGTCTCTCTCCACCTTTCTTGTGGGCTCCCTTCAGACCCAGGAAGGCCACACTTGGGTCACCCCAAAGTTCCTCTTTTTCAGTCCCAATTCTCTCAGCCTTTCCTCACAGCAGAGCTCCTCCACCCCTCTAATCATCCTGGTCATTACCATAATATATTTTAAAATTGTCTTTTATAACTCATAGAAATTAAAATTAAGGGTATAAAATATCAAAATCAATAAAAGACATCAAAGAAATGCAATACTGGTATGGACCTCACCAGGTTTTCTAATCCATTCTTACATCTGAGGAGTCCTGCAGTGTTCAACACATTTGGGGTTTTAATTACTCCTAAACAACTTGCGTGAAAGTCTTTTTTGTTTTGATAGCTGCTCCATCATTTCCCTTAGTGGCTAATGAAGATTTCTCTCATTTCTTTCATTTCTTGAAGAATTTTTATCAGATTTTCTCTTCCTCATTAAGTGAAATGTTTTTCCAGACAAACCCCCCACTCCACCCCGTTCTTTGATTGTATCCTCTCATTTATTTAAAAACTGCTGGCCTGTCCTCTTTTCACCACTTACTTACTAATTAAACAAAGCCAGTCCTTTCAAGTCTTCCTTAAAACCTACATTTTGTAAATGCACCCTTTTCATTTTTTTTTCCCCTGGACTTTCTTTCCCTCTTGAACCACCATGTCTAAAAATAAGCACAGTGCCCAAACTCTGACTTCAGCCCTGCTAAATAGAGCAGAATAATGATGTCCTGTGAGGTGCATGCAACACACCTGCTATTCCTTTGTGGCATTACATTTTTTTCTGATTTTGCTCTTTTGAATTTTCATCCTCAAGTGTGATCTCTTGCTTGGGATTCAGTGCAGCTACAGATCCCTTCCAGCCAGATTTTGTGTCTGGAAAACACATTCCTGGCACCCCAGTATTTAGCAGGTTGTAAGATGTCCCAAGAGTAAGGATCACACTGTGACCAAGGCATCCTTAAGTGTGGGAAAAGAGAGATCCTTTAGCAGGTTTGCTGAAAAGTGCCTTTGAAAAAAAAAATCCCTGGATTTAAAAAAAAAAAAAAAAATCCCTGGATTTCCTCTGGGATACTTGTCACATCAAGAAAAAAAAATTCTCTTTGTTTCCTCTTTAGTGAATTCACAGTGGTGCTGTACTTTTAATGCAACACTTACACCTGGTTCTTTTTGTCAAAATCTCTCTATTCATACTGCAATGAAGGCTCTCGAAATTCAGCTTTTAGGGGCCCTGAACTAAACCAGTTGATGGTAAAATAATCAGCTGAATATTCACCAGCAATCAAAAAGGGGTGGGTTTCTTTCCCAGCACAGGAGCAAACCTCACTTCTTCACTTTACAGGCACAAGAAACTCCTTGTCAGAGGCTGCTGCAGCTGCTCACACAAAGGGCTCAAAGATGTCAAAAACATTTTTTTGCTGGGGTTTTCAGGTACAGAAATGGACTCAGAGTTGTTTCCCAGGAGAGCTGCTGGCAGGTGAGAGGATTTTCTCCTCCTGCTGCTCACCCCAGAGGGAGCTGGAGCCCAGCTCTGACCCAGCACAGCTCTTTAGGGATCCCTGCACCTTGGTTTCCCCAGGTTCTGCAGTGCCTTCCAGCCTGGGTGTTTTTAGGGATGGGCTGTGGGGTCTGTGCTGCTCTCTCAGGAGCATCCCTGAGCTGCTCCAGCTGCCAGCAGTGGCTCTGCTGCAGTTTTGCTGTTGAGGGGTTCTAACTTCTCTCTCCTGGGAGCAGAGGATTCTGACTTGGTTTTAACTTGTCTCTCCTGGGCTTAAAATCTCATACTGAGAAGGAGTGTCTGCCACTTGGCTTTTTTTCTCCTGCCTTGGTGTTCATTTCATGGATGCCGCTGATAAATGTGGCCCTGTTTTGATGCTGGTAGGGCTTTGCTGGGAAAAGGAGACATTTTCTGCAGGTTTCTTGGGAGACGGCAACCAAAAGGATGTTACAACATAGCCTCCTGACTCTTGAACTTACCCAGGGTGGATTCCAGCTATGCTCCTTCATTTTTTTAGTCACTGTGAGGTAATAAATCATGTAAAAGGCTATGTTAAAAGTGTGCAGACCCCTCCTAGTGGAATAAACAGGTGCCACTCAGCAAGATCATAATCTGACTGCTGGCACTGGGCTTGTTTTGAAGAAAACCATTGGCTTTTATTTGTTTTTTTTTCTTGCCCACTAATGTGCCAGGCATTTGCTTTGCCAAAGGTACACAAGCTTCTGTGCCTGGAGATGAAATTGTTTCTGTTACCTATTGACACTATAAACTTAGCAACCAGGCACAAACCTCTGAGCTAATTAAAAGTCTCTAACAACACAGTGGCCGGGCTTTGTGATGCTGCCAGGGGAAGGATAGCAACCATTAGGAACAGACAAATAAATATTCGGTCTCAGTTGCCTTCCTGTGAGCATCACAACCTGAAGCACAAAAGTATGTTGAGAGAAATGGCAGGAAAAGCTGTGTCTGTGAGCTTGGGAGTGCCTGTGCTCATTCTGAGCTGGGAGTGAAACTGAAGCTTTTATCTGCTTCTCTCAATTCCTGCTCATCTTGCATTATTGTTTTTTAATAATGGAATTATTCTGTGAAGATTGTGGAAAAAATGAGCCCTGGAAACCTATCTGCCTCTGTTTAGCTTTTTAACCTGCTTTTGCCTGCCTGCTCTTCCAGGAGATAATGGCAGATTCTTCAGTGGTGGATCACCTGACACGACTGAAACTCAAACTCCTAGAAAAGGTAAGGGAATCATTCTGCAGTGGTCACCTCTGCTCTGCTTTTTGCTCTTGCATGTTGAAGCATTAACACTGTATTTTAAAACAGTATAACTCTACTGAGATACACTGAGGAGTGCTACTACTTGCTGTCACTTTCTTAAATAACATTCTACAAGTTTACCTGGACCTGCAGTAAATTAAATTGACTTTCATTTTATGGCAGATGTCACCAGTTAGCTAAAAGCCAGTCTGAGCTGGAACAGACAAGGTTTAGGAGTAAATCTTGGGTAAAGAGAATCTCAGATTGTTTTAATGTAATTTCATGTCTGCCTTCACATAAGATGTGCTGCCTGGCCAGACCTTTGCTGAATCAAGAGTCCAAACTCAACATTATCAAGTTCTTCATATGATGCAGCTCTCTGCCCTGCAAAATAAATTATGTCTCCTGACTCACCATGCTATCAATTTTAAGGTCTGGAATAGCTTGCACAGTTGGAAGCATCACTATTCTTTACTGTAACTACATTTGTAATGAGACATTTCATACTTCTCTGTTTCCTCTATCCCAAACACCTGCCATAGGCTTGGAAATCTTTATGAGCTTTTCTGCCTGACTTATAACCAGTTCTGGTTATGGTTCTGCCAACAGAGACTAGAAAATGAACAGGAGAACTTAGAGAAGATGGGATTGTCTCTCCCAGCTGCAAGTAAGAGAAGCTTTTGTCCTAATTTTAGTCATATTTTGGAAAGGGCTTGCTTATGTTCTCAGGCATGAGTTCCTCAGGAGATGATCCCCTCTCCTCCCTTCATCTGTGAGTGAACTGCTTTTGTCTTTTGAATTTCTTCAGCTGTATTTTTTTTTTCCTGACCAAGGGAAGTGAACAACCAGCTGAGCACTAACACAAGATGGATTCCTGCCCAGGCATCCTCTGCAGCCTCTCAGCTGCAGCAAACTGTGCTGATCCAGTTTGTCCTGGCTCTTGCACCTAGGAGTACACCCTGCTGTTTGCTTGGCTTTGGTGATCCTGAGAAGGCAGGAGGAACACTTCAATTCTTTGCACAGCACATGCACTGTTTATATTATTTAAGGATCCAAGGCCACCAGTAGAACCTCATAGAACCTCAGTGATCTTTCTAGACTGTACTGTGGGCTCTTATTCATTGATCTGGTGCACAGATAGTTGGAATCTTCTAATGCTGTGGCCAAGCATTTTAAAAAATCCCCTATAACAACTTGCAGTTTCAAAATACAAAATGGTGCTTTCCAGAGCAGACGCCAGGCATGGCTCCAAAGTGCATGAAAACATTCTTGCTTTTCTTCATTTCAAAATCAACCATGTGTGGGATGAACTGAAAAGGAGGTTAATTCAGAACAAAAGGGAAACAGAAAAGTTGACACTCAAACCAGAGTTTGATGGAGCTGTTACTACAAACAAACTTCTTGGCCAAAGTAGCAGGCATGAGCCATGATTTTACAAAGGTAACAAGGCCTTATTTTATAAGTTTTTACCCATATGCAACATCAAGCTGTCCAATAACACATTTTCCACATTCACATCATAACACAGGTGCTGTAGTAGCTCTGTCTTTGTGATCCTTTGAGGAGATAATGGAGACTCTTCCTCTTCCAGGGAACAGACCTCAGGACATGCTCCAAAGTGCCCTGAGGCAAAGGAAAGATCTGCTGCAGGAGCTCAGGGTAAGAGCCCTCTCTGGCCAGGAGGAGCAGACACTGCTGGTGTGGGTTCAGTGTTTTCCTGTCCCTTCATTCTGGGGCTGGGCAGGATTTAGTGCTCTGCCGCTTTGGAATATAAAGGCTGGGCCAGCTAATCAGGGAAAGAGCCTGGAGAGCAGCCTGGCTTCTCTCACTGCAGCTGAGGGAGCTTGCACCTGCTTCAGGCACTAAGGTGGGATGGTTCTGCTTCTCCCGAGCTGCTGTATCATAAACTTTCTGTGCCAAAATGCAAAGAAGGGATTTCTAGCGATGCCAAAGCAGAGACAGTAGTAATTGTTATTTATTCCTAGTTTGTGGAGGATACCAACTATTATTGAAATGTTTTCCCAGACTTTTGCCAGCTTGTTCTGCACATTTTGTTTTCCCCAATCCTTTTTGCTTATGCTTCAAGATCTGTGGGAAGGAATATACTGGCAGTGCCCTTGCTGCAGGTTCCCAGGGGCTAATCCAAATTAGTCCAGGGAGCATAACCACACTGTCTGCCTTGCTGTGACCAGGTTTTCTTTAAGAAAATACTTGACTTTGCAGGAACAGCACCTTCTGGAAGAGCTTTCACAGCCACCTGCACCAGACGGGGGACACTGCCATGACCACAGAGCTGCCCTCCCACAAATCTACCAGATCCCTTTTCCAGCTTCCCCAGTGGAGCCACCAAGGATTATCCAGCAGACAGTAAGGATTGTCTCCCAGAAAACACCAGCAGCACTGTGCCAGTCTGAGCTGACAATCATTCATTTTTGTTCATCCCACAAAAAGAGAAGATATGCCTCTTGCTCTTTTATGGGATCCTTGCTGCCTGCAGCAAAACCTAAGGGGAAATCATCTTGTAAATAAGGCCCAAAATTAACAACGGGAATGGTTTACTCTTGGAGCAAAATGGCAAAAGGAGTGCTGCCACCATGACATATTTTATGAAAATCCTTTTGATGGGATTTTCTCCTGAGAAGTTGAGGAATCTCAGGGAAGAAATAACAACTGTTTGCTGTTGTGGAATGCAACAGGTATATTTGTGATTGGTCTATGTTGGTTGTTTTTAATTAATGACCAATCACAGTTAGCTGGCTCAGACTCTCTGAGAGTCACGAGCTTTTGTTATTATTCTTTTGTTTTTCTTTTTAACCTTCTGATGGATCCTTTCTCTCTACTTTTTTAGTATAGTTTTAGTATAGCATTTTAATATAATATAATATCATAATATAATAAACCAGCCTTCTGAAACATGGAGTCAAGATTCTCATCTCTTCCCTCATCCTGGATCCTTGAACACAACCATAGAATGGCAGGGCTGCTCACACTCCAGCCTGGCCATTCAGCCACTTTCTAATGCACCTCACTGTCTGCTCAGGCAGTCCACAGCCTCAACAGCTTCTCCACGAGAATCCCAGAGTTTTCCTGAAGCCTAGGCAGATACAGCTGTTCCCACAGCTGGGGGAGCTGGCCAAAACCAACCCTGCCTTCTCCATTTTTCCTTCCTGTTCCAGGTGCCAGCTCAGCCTGCCACCATCATCCAGCAGCTGCCTCAGCCCTCGCCTGTGATCACACAGATTCCCCCAGCCCAGCCCTTGGCTGCCCCCCGCTCTGGGAGCATTAAGGAAGGTAACAACCCCTCCACGGGGCAGCCAGCTCCTGCCACCAGGCCTGGAGAGGGCAGGGCAGGTGTTGTGGCAACTGGAAGGGGACATGGGACGGTGTCCAAGCTCGTTAGTGACACGCTGTTTAATGAGCTGGTGGAGCTCTGGGAGTTGTGCTTCATAAATGGGATGGGTACCAGTTGTGAAAGGCATTCTGTTGTGAAACTCTTATCACTAAAACTAAAGAAAAAGGAACTACAAACTCAAGGGAAGATTGGGAAAGCAAAACAGCCCAACTCGTGGCACTGAGTAATATTAACAAAGTCATGCACATGGATGATTCCAGAACTGGCAAACAGACCTCTAAATTCTGGTTTTATTCTTTTGCTCCTTCCTAACCTGCTGTTCAATCTCCTCAGGCTTTTGTTTGTACAAGAAACAAGACAGAACATCTGAAAGTGTTGTTCTAAATATAGTGCAATTCCAATAAAAGAGTTTGTTTCTAAACATAGGTGGGTGCTACTGGGAAATAATACATGAACTAAAACCTGGGACAATTTCCCTGGCTCAGCCTTCAGCCAAAGGTTCATCCCACCCAGGAATCCTCAGTCATGGAACTGCAATATTTCTCAGCTCATACTTCATCTAAGTGTCTGGATTTTTGAATCAGACTTTATTTCCATAACCAAAATAGTCCCAATCCACTCATGACTTCTCTGAAGCTGCTACATGTAAACTACTTTTTGTATGATCAGTAAAAAGGAAAATGAGGGTTGCCTTCATTATTTTTTCCCTTCTTTTTTTCTCCCCTCTCCCTCTTCGCTTCTCCCCAAGTGAATTTGTTACACTGCACAAGTCCTTTGGATCCCAGAGATCATGTAAGGAGATTTGATGTGCCTGAAATGACAGACTGAGGTTATGATGTTAAAGGTCTTTTCCAACCTTTTCCATTCTAAGAGTCAGCGGACTCTCACTGAAGGTGGCACTGCAATATCACATAAATGTGAGGAAAGCTCTCCCAGGAAAGCAGTGATCTGGGGCTGAAGCAATGGAGAGCACAGCCAGGAGCCTGTCCTTGCTGGAGCGAGGGAAAGCTGCAGCTCAGCTCTTCTCCACCCTGCCATTCAGCACAGGCAGGGCTGTGGGCTGGCAGGGCAACACAAAATACTCAGCAGCAGCTTTCTTGTAGGAGGGAGGAGAAACAGGAAAGCTGGGGAGAACAACCCCATTCACAGGCATTAACTTTGCACTGTCTGGGGAAGTAATGCCAATATTCTTCACGTGTGTCTTGGTTTGAAAGGACAGGTGTCTGTCAAGGAAGGCCTTCCTTGAAATGCAAAATATAAACTCTTTCTCTCTGAATTATTATAATTTTTTAATTAAGGGGTTTTCATGTAAAGATATGGAAATAGGAATACCAGTTTTTTATGAGTAAAATTTCAAAAAATACAAATGCAATAGTACGAAAAACTTAGAAAATAAACTACTGACAGAGTTAGAATACGACTTGACACTCTGTTGGTTAGGGTGTTGGCAGCAGTTTTGATTAAACAGTGGCTCTAGTTTTCTTGGAGTGACAGATGTGGTTTTGTTGAAGCAGTGATTTTGTAGAAGGGTGTAGGTTTTATTTCGAAGGTCTGGAGGTGGTGTAGATGGGTTTGGTCTTTTTCTGGGAATCTAGTGGAGAAGATAGTTGTTCTTTTGGGAATTTAGTGGGGAAAGGGTGTCTCTGTTGTTTTAAGTCTCAGATTATATTTAGGTAGCAATGTTTGGCTCTTCTTTCTGGGTGGAGCATCTTACAATGGGATGATGTAATTTTTATCAGCCATGCAGTGACACTCATTGGCCCTTTAATAGAAGGTATCTCTCTGGAGGGACAATTGGTTGTGGGAGAGATAAAGAAAACTGCCCAATGAACAGAAGATAACTGCCCTGCTCCTAACAGATGGTAAATAGAATACACACATATCTTACAAGGCAGGACAATGTGCCCCCTTTCAGCTGCCTTGCCTTTGTTGCAGTGACCACTCTGTGTGCTGGAGGACACTCCTTACCACGACGCCTCTGCTGCCTGTCAGTTTTGGATAAAACTCTTCTCCTTTTCTTCCCTTCCCAGATATGGTGGAGATGATGCTGATGCAGAACGCTCAGATGCACCAGATCATGATGCAGAACATGATGCTGAAGGCTCTGCCACCAGCCCTGCTCACCCAGCCTGGGGGAGCCGGCTCTGCCCCGCTCCAGCACGCGCAGCAGGTAACACCAGCCAGCCTGGAGGGCTGCTCTGAGAGCCTGGCATTGCTTCAGCCCAGATCACTGCTTTCCTGGGAGAGCTTTCCTCACATTTATACTGCAGTGCCACCTTCAGTGAGAGTCCGCTGACTCTTAGAATGGAAAAGGTTGGAAAAGGCCTTTACCATCATCATCTCCCTGGGAGGGCACCAGGCCTGGGCAAAACACAACACACAGAGAGCTGGGAGAGCCAGAGCACTCCTAGGTGTGGATAGACAGAAGGCAGGAGACTAGAGATAGTGGTGACAGTAATCTCACCCCTAAAGAGTTACAGCTGTGCTAATTATCAAGCATTAAGAACGAGCCTGCCCTTAATAGGCCACAGCTGGATCCAATTAAGAGGGGTATTATAAAAGAGCAGGTTGGTTGGTTGAGATGTGAGATGGAGTCTGTTGGTTGTGCTGAGGAGAAGGAGTCAGTGCTGTGAGGAGCTGCCCCTGAGAAATCTCCAAGAAGGTATGAAACCTTTGCAGCAAGATGGTAACACCTAGGACCTTCTGTACTGGAACCTGCAGGCTCTTCTCCAAAAGTCTTCCTTTCCCAGGGGGTGGCTGAGTGGAACCCGGACCCCTTACTTCCCGTGGGGGGCACAGGTTTCTGCAGCCACCCTTTGTCTGTCTCCACCAAGGGCCTGCAGCTCGCTGCTCCCCTGGCCGTGAAGGCAGAGAGGCCCAAGGCACCCGTGGTGCACCACCACCACCATTACCCTCCCACGGGGGTGCTCCCAGTGCCCCCCAGGAGCTTCCTGCCCACGGAGCAGCCCTGGAGCAGCAGCCCTGCCCAGCCTATGTAAGTGAGCAGGCAGCTGTGACGTGCCCTTGCAGCCCTTTCTCCCTGCCCCGATGGGGTGGCAGGGCAGATTGTGGGGTAAATGTGGGCATCTGAAAAGGGTGAGGATCACACTGGTCCCCCACCCTGCCTTTTGGGTCTCCCTGTGAACCCAGCAGCCACCTGCCAAATAAATCAGGGGTGGGGAGGGGATGGGGAAGTGCTTTACACTCAGGATAAGGTTCCCAGCAGGGTTTATGTTCTTAAAGCACTGCTGGGACATTTGCTAATCAGAAATTCCTGGGAAAATAAAAACCCAAACCACCAGCTAAGAAAAATGGTACAAAGAGAGGGGAGTATCAGAAATAATGCTGAGCCTTTGCCATAAGCTTGTGCTTGCAGCTGGAGGGGGTGGGTTTCAAGTGCAGAACTGGCTTGAACTTCTCAAGAAGTTCAGCAGAAATGGCTGAACTTCTCCCCAGGATGCTCCCAAATCCATAGAGCCCTTCAGCTCCGTGCAGAGGACACAGCCAGCTCCTCCAGGGGCTCACTTGCTCTGTGCCTTCCTCTGAGCTTGCCCTGCTTGCCTTCCTAGGTGCTAGGGAGTTCTTACATGCCAAGGATGGTGAAGAAATGCCCCTTGCTAGAGCATGGAAGCAGGAGTGACATGGGGACACACTTTTATTTCTGTCCATGGCTCTTTCAGAGCCTTAGTGACCAGGAGAACAGGAGGGAGGCAGCTGCAGCCTTGGGCACGGGTGACCTGCTGGCAGGGGTATCTGTACAGCTCTCCTTAGCAGAGGATTTGAATTCCTGAACAGATTATTTTCCTAATGGGATTACAAGGGATGAACATTTCTACCTATTTCCCCTTGACACGGGTTTGTAATCTGAACCAGTAAAGAACTCCTGGCTCCTGTCAGGATCAGTGCAATTCACTGCAGAAATCAGTAGGTCTTGTCATGGCCTTCAAACTTTGTTCTTCCTCTTCTTCAGCTGCCTCCCACCACAAGGTGTGAGACCAAACTCTTCTTTTTGCAGTTGCAGCACTACAGGCTGTCACTAAACACAATAACCCTGTTTTTCTTGTTGCAGGTGGCCCACATACTGACAGTACAGGACCCTCTGCAAGTGGACCATAGCCTTTCTAAAACCAATAAAATCCTGCTGCTCTTCCTCAGCCATTGACATGTCTTTTTCTTCAGCACCATAAATCAGTCACTTTCCCCTCCTTTACTTTTCCCCAGAGGACAAGCTTTCATCCATGCCCATGTTATCCTGTCCTTTTAAGTTTTATTTACGACTTCTTAAAAGGCTCCCTCAGAGTTTTTATCAGGCAACACTTTTTCATGCTCTCAGCAGCCTGGTTTTGCTTGACATAGAAAGATGAACGATGATTTTATAGCTGTTTCTCAATATATTCCCTTCTGTTTATATATAAAACCTTCTGTTTTTAGAGTGGAGAACATTTGTACACTGGGTTTGCCTCATGCAGTCTGTGAGTCTGATTAAGAAAACCCAGGGACCTAAATTTTGTTTGGAATGAAGAAAACATAGTAACTATCACTGCTGGAAACTAATTGTGTGCTGTGTTCCAAAACCAATTAATGAATAATTTATTTACTGTGTAAAACCTACCTTGCCCTTTGCCCTCTCTGCTCTGTTGTCTTTGAGATTCTTATTGCTCCCTGCAACTTCTCACTTTCTACAACTACCTGAGAGAGGAAATGGCCTCAGGTTGTGCCATTGGATTGAATATTAGGAAGAAACTCTTGACTGAAAACATTGTCAGACATTGGAAGAGGCTGCCCAGGGAAGCACTTGAGTCCTGTCCCATCCCTGTAGGTGTTTATGTGGCATTTAGGGTCACAGCTTAGTGGTGTGCTTGGCAGTGCTGGGTTAGCAGCTGGGACTCGATGTCCTTAGAGGGCTTTTTCTACCTTAATGATTCTCTGAGCCAGATCTGCTGGGGCCTGGCAGGTTTAGCAATAAATTGTGCTTGGTGATACAAATATCTGCAGTTTCACTGTCTGCTGTTTGATTATTATGTGTTGGCTCTCATTGGCTCCTCTCTTTTCAATGCTTACTGTGGGCAGTGTTGGCTCAGCAGAGCATTTCCTCCCAAGGATGGGCATGTGAAATAATGCCTGCAGAGATGTCTCCTCACAGCCTTGTCCAAGTCCTGGAAATGGACCCTCTCCTAAGCATCACATCCCAAAACCCTCCACCACACACACACACAGCTTCCTTGGATGCAGGATATCCTCAAAGATGGGATGATGCTCCTGGTAAGTAGTGTAGCTCACAACTCACCCTCAGGAGAGGTTCCAGAAGTCACTCCACACTGTCCCACCACTGCCTCTGCAGCTGCATCCCAGTGAAGCATCGGCAAAAGCCTGGCCAGTGCAAGTTCTCCTCCTGCTCCGTGTGCATTCCTTGGAGACTGCAGGATTGCTCTACAATTTCCAGAGGAGCCTGGCTGAATAACACCACGCTGCCACCTCAACACCTCAGGCTCAGCCTGGCTGACTCCCTGACGGTCTCTGGGCTGGGAGTTAAACTTTAATGTGGCTCGGGGGAGAAGAACCCAGGCATGAGTCAGCCACCCACATTCCTGCCCTTCCCCTCCCCACTGGCAAGGGCAGAGAAGCAGAGGGATCAGAGACAGAGCAGGGATCTGAGACCCAGGGGCTGACCCAGCATGGACCCCTGCGACCTGCGAGGGAAAAGAGTTGCTATTGTTGGTGGTGGTCTGGTAGGAAATGCCATTTAGCTGCTGCTTGATTGTTTGCTGGGGAGCTGGGGCTGTAAAAACACTGCTTGAATGTGGGGGTGAATGTTTTTGCTAAAGCCATTCCTCTGTCAGATGACGGGGTGCTGCGAAGGGGGTGATTGAGCTCCTGCTGTGGGAGGCTCCTGCTCGTTTCTTGGGTGAAGGGGTTTGGGGGGTGGGTGAGCAGTGGTGCCCAGGCACACTAAACACCAATCCTTGTTTGGGCTGCCAGGTTCCCCTGTCTCTTGGCTGATTTTGGCTGTAAGCAAAGCTCTAATGTGAAATGCTTTGCACGAACTGGAACCAGTAAAAGTCAGGCTGAGAGGAAATGCCTTCCTCTGCCCGCTTTTGTTTGGGGATGGCTTTCATTTTTCATCCACTGCAGAGAGGTGTGACACTAAAGGCCAGGCAGGACGGGGCTCTGAGTAACCTGGTCTAGTGGAAGGTGTCCCTGCCCATGGCAGGGGTTTGTAACAAGATGCTCTTTAGCATCCTTTCCAACCCAAACCCTTCCATGAGTCTCTGATTCACCTACATCTCTCTCTTGACTTTTTGGACATTATCTCCTTGGAAAAGAGTGATGACAGAAGAGTCTGTAGTTCTGACAACAATCTATAATGGAAATTAAATTTTTAAAAGTTATTTAAATTACAAACAGGACACATTTGTAGTGTTCTCCCTCACTGTGTTCCCAAGGGAATGCTGCTATGCCCTGAATACTAGTGAGGAAGGTAAACACAGGCCAGAGCAGAGCTGGAGCTTGCCTACACCAGCTCCTGCTGTCTCTGGCTGAAGAGATGAGCTCTGCTGCATTCAGTTGCTGTGTGTAAACAAGCCTGAGCTTGGTAGGACTTCATAAAAAGAGTTTTGATGGGTGGCTTTTGTCTTGGAGACTCTGCAAACACACAGGACTGCTCTTCAGTAAAAAATCTTCTGAGGTTCTTGGTCAAAGCACCTCTCTGTTCATGCTGAGCTGCATCCCCTGATCACTTCTTTCCTTTGATGCATCTCAGCAGTGACCTCTGAGGTGCTACATCCACCCTTCCTGATCTTTGTCTTGCAGGTGGGTGCATTAAATGCCTGTTTCTTTGCTAGACGAGGTTTCCATGTTGACGTTTACGAAGCCAGAGAAGGTAAGGGCAGCCTGATCATTACTGTGTGAGCTCACTGAAACTGTAAGAAAATAATGAAAGCTGAGGGTGGCAGTTTGGGGATATTCTTTTCTCTCTCACCTTTAGCTCCTGTGGTGGGAAGGAGCATTTATTTGAAGTTCATCTCGTGTGGAGGGAACCCACTCTTTAGCTGCTAAAATGATGCTCTTTTTATGTTCTTGGCTTAAACACTGATTCAAATCCCCACCTCTGAAGCCTGGTCTCTGCAGAAATCATTATAGTACAGTGCTGGGTCAGAAGAAGAGATGGAGCTTCCAGGTCCACAAGGTGCCAACAAAAGAGAAATTAAGATTTAGAGCCAAGACACTAGCTCAAAGGCAGATAAATTGTTCATCTTCAGTATCTGTCAGCTGGCAGACAAAAAAGACCTGGGCAGAGGTGGCAAGCCCAGTGGCAGGTGGGAATGGTACCATGGAAAGGGCTCAAGTGTGCAGTGAAGGGAGGGAGGAGCCATGGCTGGCACTCTGTGGTGACTCTTCCTGCCCTGATAGACATCAGAACAGGCAGTTCTGCTGCACAGCTCAACACTGCCACAAGTTCCACAGCTTCAAAAAGCCTCTGATTGCTCTTACCTGCCTTCTGAGTTGGATGGATCCTGCTGGTTTTGGCCCATTGCCTACACTGGTGCACGTGTTGGGATGAGGAGGCTGTGCCCCATGCACTGGCCAGACAACCCAGGGAGTTTAAATGAGGTAGCTTGGAGGAGGAACAGGCCAATGCCCAGACACTTCCATCTGATCAGCCATGAAGGAGGTGACCTGCCAATGTCCCAAAAAGCATCACTCTGTGGGCCTCAGCAGAGCCTGGCAGGCATTCACTGCTCATTCCCATTTAGAGGGGAAATGGCTCTTTCTGTTACTGCACCCTCTGGCACGTGGGGTGCTGTCAGAATCCAGCACTCCCTTTCCTGGCTTGGCTGCAGCTGCTTCTCCCAGGCTAGAGGAGGCACGGAGGGTCCAGGCTGTTCTGCAGGGGGCTGGGAGGTGTTCCCCTCACCAGGCTGAGCTGTGATTGCCTCCATGGCCCGCTGCTCTCCCATGCAGATATCCGAGTGGCCAGCTTCGCCCGTGGCAGGAGCATCAACCTGGCCCTGTCTCACCGGGGACGCCAAGCCCTGCGAGCTGTGGGCATGGAGGAGCAGGTACCCTGGCACACCTCTGTGCCCTTTCTTGTCCCAGCCAGACCTCTTCCACTGCTTGCCTGCAGTCTGGCTGTCCCCTGCTTCGCTGCACTCCGCCAGGCAGCTGGGTCTGTTCCTTCCCTGGGACACCAAGCACCTTCCAGTGTTTACCTCCCCTGCCTCCTGGAGCAGAGGGCAAGCAGGGCAGGAGTAGCTGGACTCCCAAAAGAGCTGATGCAATACAGCAGGATGCAATAAAGGCAGCTGTTTTCCCCACTGACACGTCCGGGTTTGTATTTTCCCAGAAAACCTTGATCTTTGGGCTGACCCCTGAAATCCATCCACACTGCTGTCTGCCCAGCACGCCTGGCTGGGAGCCCAGCATTCTTCTGCAGGGCACTGGCTACCATTTAACATCCAGCTGCTGGCAGTGGTGGGATCTCCTGCTCCCTGGATCCCTGCAGAGGAGCCCAGACTTTGACAACACAAATCCCAGTCCCAGGGTGTAATTTGGCTTTCATCCCCTGCCCTGTCCAGCACTCTGGGATTTTTCACGTCCCTTCTATCCAAAAACAATTTCCCTCTGATTTCTATGAGCATGAGCTTGTAAGTAATCTCAGTAAACTGTAGTAAATTGACATGACAGCCCTGTTCAAGTTCTCCCTGGAGATTTGGAAATGTGTGAGGAAAGAGCCCCCCCATTCTCCCTCGAGTGCAGTGCTTGGGGGAGGGGATGATGCTTGGTAACTCGTACTAAAAACCCACAGTTTTGGCCAGAAGTGTTGGTTGTGTTCCCTTCTCTTTCAGATTGTGGCCAAGGGCATTCCCATGCGGGCAAGGAGGATACACACACCTTCGGGGAAAAAATACTCCATCCCTTATGGGAAGAAGGACCAGGTACTGGAGGTGCTTTGCAGAGCACAAGAGGTCTTTGTGTCTCTGTGTCCTGGATAGTGTGGGGCTCATGGATGTGGGAGAATGAGGGAAGGGGGGGTGTTTCCTGTCTGTGTGTCCTTCAGCAAAGCTTTCTGTTTGTTTGCCTTGCAGTACATTCTCTCTGTGGACAGAGCAAACTTAAACAAAGAGCTGCTGACAGGTAGGTTGTCACTTCTGTTTGCAAATTCTTCCAACACACTTTTAGCTGGGGATTTAGGGTTTGCCCCGTGACTAGAAGACTTTGAGCCCCGAGCTCCCTTAGCCAGATCTCACAAAGTGCAAACCTGGAAGAGCAGAGGAAAACCTCCGAAGCAGGAGACACCTGCTCAGCCTTGTCATGGTTTGTGGCATTTTCCATAACCCCTGATTGTACAGAGACAAATAGAAATCGGAGCTCTATGGCAAATCAGACCAAATTAATGCAAATTCCCTGCTGACTGCAGCCACCTCATCCTATCCTGAGCTTCAGTGGAGTGATGGTGGAAAGCAGCCAATGACTCATGTCACTCTGGAGAATAAAAAAATCCCTGCAGAATTCCTTGCATTTTTCAAGTAGTTTATACCATAGCTGACCAGTCCCAGTGTGCCCTGTCTGCTGGCCCTCATGCAACACAGCAAATTATTTGCTGTAGTGGCAAAAATCCCTATAATTTAGGGATCTCTTGGAAATTTTTTTTGCAGTCACAGTAGACCGCTCTACATTTAGTTGTCTTTTTTTTTTTTTCACAGCTGCTGAGAAGTACTCCAACACTAAGCTGTTCTTTGGACACAAGCTCCTCGGGTGCAATGCAGAGCTGGGGACATTATCCATAAAAAGGTAATCCCTGGACAAGCATGAGATCAAGCACTGTGGTCAGTTAGTTTCTGCTTAATCATTCACAAAACCTCAAACAATTGAGCAATCTCAGTTTTGAAACTATTGTGCAGGCAAA